TGTCTTGCCTCGTGGGAATCCACCGACACATCATTGAGAATTGTGAACAAAGGACACAAGATGTGGGACACAATATACAGATGGAATATTGGGAAAAATTGTGAAAGACTGAAATAAAATTCACTGCATGTGTGGCGATTAAAGGAAATTATATGAAAATGATGTACAGATATCTAACTCCAGTAAAATTAGCAAAAATGTATAAAAATAAAGAAAGTAAGTGTTGGAAATGTAAATCAGCAGAAGTGACATTTTCTCATATGTGGTGGGATTGCAAAATTGTTAAGAAGTACTGGGAAATGATTTATAATGAATTGAAGAAGATGTTTAAAACCACTTTTGTTAAAAAACCAGAAGCTTTCCTACTAGGTATTACAGTAGTGGATATACCAAGACTGCAAAAAGACTTTTTCAAGTATGCAACGACAGCCGCATGAATACTATTAGCACAATATTGGAAAGAAAAAGGTGTCCCATCTAGAGAAGATTGGCAAGTGAAATTAATGGAATATGCTGAAATGGCAAAAATGACAATGAAACTAAGAGGAAGAGACGACAGAGAATTTAAAGAAGATTGGAAGGACTTTATTGCATATATACAGAAGCAATGTACACAGGTTAATACATGAGCAGGATTTTTAAAATACTGGTAGAGATATTATGACTGGACAATAAGTAACAAAAGTAAGAGAGCCACCATGGCTTGTTTGTTTGTTTGTTTGTTTGTTTATACCCTGCACATCTGGCTGGCTTGCTCCAGCCAATCTAGGCGGCTTCCAACACATATAAAAATGATAAAATATCAAACATTAATAGCAGCAATCTGATCCAATATAAAAAGTCACAATAACTTTAAAATAAACAACTTATTACCGTATTTTTCGCTCCATAAGACGAACCTGACCATAATGCGCACCGAGTTTTTAGAGGGGGAATGCAAGGGGGAAAATATTATTTAAAGGGAGCGCTGAGCAGAGCCTGTATGCATCCCAGGTTCTGCTCAGCGCTCCCTTTCACGAGCTGCATGGAGCGTGTTTGCGGCGCTTGCAGGCTTTTCTCGAGGAGGGAGAAGGGCAGCCCGTCACTGACGAGCTGCCCTTCTCCCTCCTTGGGGAAAAGCCCCCAAGGCCACACACACACACTCTGCACGGCTCTTTAAAGGGAGTGTGACTCTTGGGGGCTTTTGCAGGAGGTGGGGGGAGTGAGAAAGCCGTGCTCTGTCCCTTCCTCCACCTCCCGCAAAAGTCTCCCCGCTGCCCTGCGGAGGCTTCGCGGTCTACCCCAGAATCCAGAACAGCTGCGCAGCGCTCTCTCTAGCTGTTCTGGATTCTGGGGTAGACTGCAAAGCCTCCGCAGGGCAGTGGGGAGCCTTCATCCCGCTGCCCTGCGGAGGCTTCGCGGGCTACCCCAGAGCTGCTCAGGAGCGTGGGGCATCTGCTGTTCTTTACCCTCCAACCTGGTTGCCCTGCTCTTGGTCAACCCAAGGATTACCTATCCCTCCCTGAATTCAGTCCCAAACTAGCTGGGTGTCAAGGCTTCAGGAAAGCTATTCCTCCCTCAGCTGCAGCAAGAGCTGAGAAAACAAGGCAGAGTCTCATATATATACATACATATACATATACATATACATATACATATACATATACATATACATATACATATACATATATACATACATATATATATTAACAATTTCAACATAACAATATATCAAAACATATCATATTCATTATGTCCCCCCTTTTTCCCCACTCCCCACCAAACCCTCCCTCTCCCCCAAGACTTCCCTCAGCTCCTCTCTCTGATTTCTCAGCACATGTTATTCTCTGAATATTATAAAATTGTATCAGTCCTTATATTACCTATCTATCATGTTGTCAATCAATAAATTTGTGTATGTTTATTCAAAACCTGCCAAGGAGTCCAATTCGTTTTGTTGTCTTTTTAAATACTTTGCATAAAGTTCTCATTCTTCTTTAAAGTCACAGTTGTCTTTGTCTCGCAATTTGGATGTCAACTTCGCCAGTTCTGCATAGTTCATCAATTTCTCTTGCCATTGTTCCTTTGTCGGGGTTTTCTCATTCTTCCATCTTTGTGCTATCAAGACTCTTGCCGCTGTTGTGGCAAATTGATGATAATTAATTACTAATTATTATTAGAGCCGGCCAGAATCATCCCTGAGAATTTTCCTAACTCTCTTGAGGCAACGCTATTTCATCCAGCGGATTCACGGGACAGCCCATAATATCTTGTGCTGTATTCACCACCCTCTGTAGGCACTTCCTATCAGATGATGTCAAACCAGTGTACCACACCATGATGCAGTATGAAAGGACACTTTCTATTGTTGACCTGTAGAAGGAGATCATCAGATGTTGATTGACATCCTTCTTCCGCAATACTCTGAGGAGATGGAGTCTCTGTTGGGCTTTCTTAACCACCTGGGTTGTATTTATTTTCCAAGTAAGGTCTTCACTGAGGTAAACTCCTAGGAATTTAAAGGAAGAGACTCTCTCCACACAGCCCTCCCCGATGTACAGTGGGGCTAGTTCTCCTCTCTTCCTCCGAAAGTCCCACACCATCTCCTTTGTCTTGCTGATATTAAGGTGCAAGTTGTTCCCTAGGCACCATGCAGATATATATTTTTTTAGATATTTCTAAACTCTGACGCTTCCGCTTCCTTGCTTCAGTGAACAGCCCCACCTGTCCATCCTGGAAGAGGGTGAAAAGGCCCTTACAAAAGAGTCACTGAACACCTTAAGAGGAGAGCTGTTTCCGTACTACCTGTTTATTGAGCGTTCACTTCTTTGTGAGAAGGCAATACAGCGTTGAGCCAAGCAATGGTCACCCCACATTTCCCGCTGTATTTCCTCACCACGTTCCTTACTGCAAATAGCCCAATTTCAGGGTGAGTTTGATGATGGAGGGAGTCTGGTACTGCATAAATTTCCTCATTCCACTGTGCCAGATATTTGGAGAAATAGGGTACTTGAAATACATAAAAGTGGGCTAGGTGCACTGGGTTAAAGCTGACCAAAAGTCCAGAAGTAGCATTATTATCAATTTACAATAGAGGGGAAGGCTCGCAGTCTAGAAAGGACTTGCTCACAAATTTATTGACAGCTGCGCGACTTATTATAGCTAGGAAGTGGAAAGTGAATATTAAACGGAAGAATGGTATAAAGAGGTATGGGATTCGGCTATTCATGAGAAATTAACATGTGCTATTAAGGTAAGACAGGGAATATGAAATTTACGGCATGTAATGCCCTAAGAGAAAATTTAAAGAAAATGATTTATAGGTGGTACATGACACCAGTCAAGCTTGCAAAAATTTATCATTTGCCCGACAATAAATGTTGGAAATGTAATGAGACTGAAGGTACATTCTTTCACCTTTGGTGGACATGCCCAAAGATTAAGACATTCTGGGAGATGATCTATAACGAAATGAAAAAGGTACTCAAATATACCTTTCTGAAGAAACCAAAGGCCTTTCTCCTGGGCATGGTTGGCCAATTGGTGTCAAAGAAGGATAGAATTTTTTTTATGTACGCCACAACAGCAGCAAGAATACTCATCGCGAAGTACTGGAAGACACAATATTTACCCACCTGGGAAGAATGGCAGATGAAGTTGATGGACTATATGGAATTGGCGGAAATGACTGGCAGAATCCAAGACCAGGGAGAAGAGTCGGTGGAAGAAGACTGGAAAAAGTTTAAAGTCTATTTACAGAAATACTGTAAAATTAATGAATGTTAGGAAAATGTTGGAATGAAGTTATATGGCTTTAGTAGAAATGTTATAAGGAATTAAGTATAAATAGACTAATAGAGTCTATTAGGGAAAAATAAGGTTAGAATGTGTTAAGATAATTAAAGGATAGAAAGCAGAGGAAGATGGAAAGGAATTGCTGAAACAATTAATAGAAGTGGAATACAAAAAGGGAGGTGTGAGGAGGTCATTGAAATAAGTGAATGAAAGATAAGATATTGAAACTGATGTGTTTTAAACTGTTTTTGTTTTGTTTTGTTAGTTTAATGTGTTAGTGTTAGGTATTGTTTTTGTATTGTATTGTGTGTGTTTTTTGTAGTGTTTAAATTGTTGGAAAAGTAATAAATATTATTTTTTTAAAAAAAGGTAAGACAGGGAATATGCAGGATAAATTATTTTGAGGAAGGTATTTGTAGAATTTGTATTGTTAAAACGGAAAGGGGTCAAACCATCGCAAAGAGGTGCTGAAATTTTGGGAGGTTGGATAGTTACAATGGAATGGTCTCAGTGGTGGGGTGCACATTTTTATTTTTATTTATTTATTATTATTGCTTTGTCAAAATAAAAGGTAATAATAATAATGAGCCTGGCTTCGGCTGAGGAGGACGGGATATAAATAATTCATCATCATCATCATCATCATCATTATTATTATTATTATTATTATTATTATTATTATTATTATACAGTGGAACCTCGGTTGTGAAACATAATCCATTCTAGAAGACCGTTCGACTTCCGAAACGTTCGACAACCAAGACACAAAGGTCTGCTGGCAATTTTCACTGAGAAAATTGAAAAACTCGTCTTGGAAGCCGTTTGGCTTCTGAGGCGCGTCTGAAAACAGAAGCATTTACTTCTGGGTTGTCGGCGTTCGGGTTCCGACACGTCCGGCTTCCAAGATGCTTGAAAACCGAGATTCCACTTTGGTAATAAAAGAACCAGGTGAGGTTTTCGGTCTCTTCCAACCCTACAATTCCGTGACTCTGCAGAAAGATAAATCTGGGGCCAAACAAATCTTCTTCCCGGCACTTGGCATTGTTTCCCTGCACCTGGTTGAAATGCAGGCCAGTGACCTCTTTACTCTGTTTGCTTGGCAAAGGCACCTTCTGTGGGGTGTTGCAGCTTCCCTTCCCCGTTGCTCCAGCACAGTCCCAGCCCCCTGGCCTCTTTTATCTCCTCCGCCTTGCAAAGAGAGCCAGTATGAAGGTCGATGTGGGAGCAGCAACAGCAGCAGCCTCCGCCGCCACCATCTCGCTTGCCCACGGCTGAATGATGGGGAAGGGCCAGATCCTTGGAGGACCCAGCGCCTTTCTCTTCCTGCTGCTCCTTCTTCAGGGGGACATCTCGGCACCAATGCCGTAAGCTGCTTGCCTGGACATCTTCCCCTTCCCCTTCTCTCCCTATGCTTTCCACAAACTTCTCGAAAGAAAATTCGCTTAATTATATAAATTAGAACCATGGAATTGTAGAGTTGGAAAGGGACCACATTTCTTTTCTATTTGGCACTACTCCCTCTCTTTTTATTAGTTTTTTAACATCCCATTTTCAACAATAATTAAACATACTTTTACATCTTATTCAATGTTTTTGACTTCCATCAGCCCTGTCTGAAAATTTTCCAATCTTAGCGTGCATTTCTCATTTTCCCTATTACATTTCAAACTTATAACCAGTATCTCTATCTTTTTCTACTTTGTAACACTTTGTATATTTCTCATTACAAAACTTCTTGTAGTCCTAGTAGCGTAATTTGTTGATATTACAGTTGCTCTTCAAATAATTCATATACTTCTTCCAATCTTCTGTAAATCTCTGGTCCCGCAGGTTTCAAACTCTTCCTGTCATTTTGTCCAATTCTGCATAGTCCATTAATTTCGTCTGCCATTCTTCTTTCGTCGGAATTTCTTCTTGCTTCCATTTCTGGGCTAATAGTACTCTTGCTGTATTTGGTGCTACTCTGCGCGCTATTGCATTTCTGTTATTTTGGAAGGGACATAAAAGTCTCATCTTAAAGAAAACAACATGGGTTGCAGCCACCTGCAATGAGCCATAGCCCTCTTCAGCTATCTTAAGCGCTGTCACATGGAAGAAGGAACAGGCTTGTTTTCTCCTGCTCTCGAGGGCAGGACTCGAACCCATGGCTTCAAGTTACAAGGAAGGAGATGCCGACTCAACATGAGGAAGAACTTTCTGACAGCAAGAGCTGTTGGGCAGTGGAATGGTCTCCCTGGGGAACTCTCCTTCCTTAGAGGTTTTTAAGCAGAAATTGGATGGCCATCTGTCATGGAGGCTTTAGATGAGATTCTGTAATGCATGGAGTTGGACTAGAGGACCCTCGGGGTCCCTTCAAACTCTAATATTAATAATTTATAATAATAATTTATTATTTGTACCCGGCCCGTCTGGCTGGGCTTCCCCAGCCCCTCTGGGCAGCTTCCAACAAAGATTAAAAATATATCTAAGATTCTATGATTCTATGTCCTAATTCCCCTTTCCCCCCAGGCATCACTTGGTGCTGGTACCCTTCGTCCTCCAGGCAGAAACCTCCGAGAAGATCTGTGTCCATGTGACGCAGCTGAACAAGTCAGTGACGGTGAACATCACCCTGGAAAATCTAGCAGAGACTCGCACCAGCCATGTGGTGTCCAAGACAAATCCATTCCAGTGCGTCCCATTCCAGGTGAGTTTTTCTCACTTCAGCATGTTCTCCTTCATGGAGAGCACGGGTTGCGGTGGGGTTAACCAGACACCCCTGTTGCTGGGCAAGTTGGTTGGGTCGGCCCAAAGTGTGATTGGACTCCTCAGGTTGTTTTGGAGAGTTGGATGTTGCCTTTGAGTGACAGCCTGGGTTGAATATATTCACTGCTTCCTCTTTTCGCTGCGAGCATCGGATCAGCTGCCCACCCTCCCTAATTTTAGGGTGTTTTTTTGCGTTTGACCTTGCTATGCCTGTCATGGGGTCGTCTGCTTTTGGGGCAGGGGCCTGGTAGGAATTTTGTCCATTTGGCTGATACCGTTTGGTTTTTGCCTACTGCGTAGCAAATTGTCACAACTTGCAAGGTTGCGGTTAGGCCATTGGTTTTAGGAAAAATTGGTTGGTGAAGGGGTATGGATTGGCTGTGCCTGCCCCTCCAGTGCTGTTGCTGCAAGGGTATTCCATTAAAGGAATCCAGGGGCTTGCCATGCTTTTGTCCGCACCCCTGTCAAGGGGGCTAGGGCCACGCAAGAGCCCCTGGGAGCATTTGGGGAGAGGTGAGGGTCTGGCACCCAACTCCGTCTACTCCCCATAAAATGTTTTCCCTTCCTGACTTCGCAGGCTCGCGGATGTCAGTTCTGTCCCTGGGCAGGGACAGGTAGTCGTAACCAATGCCTAAGCAACCACTCACATTGTTTGCATTTTAATAAAGTTGTGGCTAAAATTATGCCAAAAAACTTAAACGAAAATTATGGTGTGAAGTGTGAATTTATTTAGGGGTGGCTTGGGGACCTCGACGCGCAACCATTTTGCTTTCTGTTGCTGATCAAGATGTCTGGGCATTTTTCCAAGGAAAAACAGGATTGTTGTGGTCTCGTAGGAAGCTGCCGTATCCCAAGTCAGAACACTGGCCTGTCCAGCTCAGAACTGACTTGGCAGCAGCTCTCCAGGATTTTGGACTCCATCCTAAGGAGGACCATGCCCATCCCCACCTCTGGCCTTTGATCCGAAGCCCTCCAACCTGGTTGCCCTGCTCTTGGTCAACCCAAGTGTCAGAGCTGCTCCCAGATCCTAGCTCACAGAGGATCACGCTAGCCAGCGTTCACTTTATAAAAGTCTTTATTGAGTTACAGATTCCATCTTCAAGCTGCCGCGTGCAGCTCTACGTCTTATAAGCTAGACCGGCGAAGCTCCGTCTGAGTCTCCGCCCCCTGTACACCAACTTAATACCCTAGCCTTACTCCACCTTTTCCGCCTGACCGTTCTTCTCTGGGTCCCTCTGCCCCCCGTGGTCTCTTCCTTCCTGGACTCTTCTGACGCTGACCCCCCGGACCCTTCTGTCTCCTTGCGTCGGGCTTTAGGACCTGGCTCCCTTTCCGGGCTGCTTACTGCGCCGCCTTCCTGTGCATTTGAACTTGGCGCGCGCGCCCAACCTTCCACTTTCCGCTTGACCGTTTCTTCGCTCCCCGATGGAGGTGTGGCCACTCCTGACTCATGCCCTCCCCCCTGCTGTGAGCTGCCAGAGCTTGATACCTGGCGCCCTTCCTCTCCACTGCGCTCTGTTGGGGACGCTGGCCCCGATTTCCAACTGCTGCCCTCTGAACCCCCTCTGGACCCTTCTTCCTGGGGTGTCCCCCTAGGCTCCTCCCTTGCTCTGGCCACTGGCGCTCCTTTCTGTGAATCTTCTGATTCACTGGAAAGACTCGGAGATCTCGGGTCGTCGTCATCACTCATCTTTTCTTCGGACTCCTCCCCCTCGCTCTCTGTTTCCTCCCTTGCCCTCGCCTCTGCTCCTGAACCCCTGACACCAAGGATTACCTATCCCTCCCTGAATTCAGTCCCAAACTAGCTGGGTGTCAAGGCTTCAGGAAAGCTATTCCTCCCTCAGCTGCAGCAAGAGCAGAGAAAACAAGGCAGAGTCTCATATATATACATACATAACTATCTATATCTATATCTAATCTATATCTATATCTATATCTATATCTATATCTATATCTATATCTATATCTATATCTATATCTATATCTATATCTATATCTATATCTATATCTATATCTATATCTATATCTATATCTATATCTATATCTATATCTATATCTATCTATCTATCTATCTATCTATCTATCATCTATTATTAACAATTTCAACATAACAATATATCAAAACAGATCATATTCATTCATTCATATATATATATATTATTAACAATTTCAACATAACAATATATCAAAACATATCATATTCATTATGTCCCCCCCTTTCTTCCCGACTCCCCACCAAACCCTCCCTCTCCCCCAAGACTTCCCTCAGCTCCTCTCTCTGATTTCTCAGCACATGTTATTCTCTGCATATTATAAAATTATATCAGTCCTTATATTACCTATCTACCATGTTGTCAATCAATAAATTTGTGTATGTTTATTCAAAACCTGCCAAGGAGTCCAATTCGTTTTGTTGTCTTTTTAAATACTTTGCATAAAGTTCCCATTCTTCTTTAAAGTCACAGTTGTCTTTGTCTCGCAATTTGGATGTCAACTTCGCCAGTTCTGCATAGTTCATCAATTTCTCTTGCCATTGTTCCTTTGTCGGGGTTTCCTCATTCTTCCATCCTTGTGCTATCAAGACTCTTGCCGCTGTTGTGGCATACATGAATAAATTTGACATTTGTAAAAAAAACCACAACCCAGAGGCATTGTAGGACAAGACTTGCCAAAGAAAACAAATGCATAGACTTTTTAAATGAGTTTATTCATTCATAATAGCGAGAGACAAAAGAATGCAACAAGCCCTGACAATGGCGTTGCTCCAACTGGGCTCCTCCTTCTGAGCAACAGCGCCTCCCTTTACGGTGGCCGCATGTGGCCAAATGTCTCTGATTCTGTCGTTCCTGTGCTCTTAATGAATGCAGCGTTCTGGAAGAAGGGGGAGGGTCAGAAATACTCTCCAGTGACAACGTGTCAGCTCTGCCTCTGTCTCCTCTCCCCCTTCTTCTAATACTTCCCAACTCTCATCATCTATCTCTGAACTGTGACCTCCCTCAACCCCCTGCTTTAAATCGATGGTGCAGTCCTCTTCTCCTGCCCACAGCTGCCCCAAGGTGGGCTCGAACAACCAACCTTCTGGTTGACAGCTGGATGCACTAACCCAGGGGTCTGCAACCTTTAAGACAAAAAGAGCTACTTGGACCCTTTTCCAAAGAAAAAAAAACTGGGAGCCACAAAACTCGTCATTATAAAAATAACTTTTTTGTCACTTTTTTATTATTTCTTTGTTTGACCCCTCAGAATTACTCCTCCTCATAGAAATAAATGTTAAATTAACAAGTTACCTTTGTGTGTGTGTGTGTTCTTCACTCCCCTTCAAAACAGTGACCAGCGTACACGCCCCCTTTCAATGCAGTGACCAGCATACATGCCCCTTACAATGTGGCGGGCGGGCGGGCGGGCGGGAAGGTGACGTTGGGACGGTGCGTGACTAATGCACGCACCGCCCCCATGCGACGTCACAGCCATTACAGCGCCCGCCACAGTGGGGAGTGTCAGGGCGCACAATGCGCCTCCTCCCCTCGCTAGTATCCGCCCCGGAGCCGCGGTAAAGGTGTAAAAGAGCCACATGCGGCTCCGGAGCTGCGGGTTGCAGACCCCTGCACTAACCCATTGATCTATGCCATGGGTAGGCAAACTAAGGCCCGGGGACCGGATCTGGCCCAATCGCCTTCTAAATCCGGCCCGCAGACGGTCCAGGAATCAGCATGTTTTTACATGAGTAGAATGTGTGCTTTTGTTTAAAATGCATCTCTGGGTTATTTGTGGGGCATAGGAACTTGTTCATTATTATTTTTCAAAATATAGTCCGGCCCCCCACAAGGTCTGAGGGACAGTGGACCGGCCCCCTGCTGAAAAAGGTTGCTGACCCCTGCCCTACCCCACTGCCCTGCTCACAGTTGTGAAGAATCTTTGTACATTCTGAATGGTCTGTGTCACCATTCAGTAAAAAGAGGTCGGAATAGGCCAATATGTATGTGGACTGTCCCTGGATCGAGTGACTTTTCTTCTCTAATGCTCCTGCCTTCCACCTTATCCCTCTTCTTCAAGGTCCCCAGATTGAGTAACTCTCCCGAGGCTTCTGAGGCCACCCTCACCGTGGAGGTGGCGGTGGATTGGAGGGGGATGCTGTTTGTATCCCATGAACGGCAACAGGTGCTGGTCAGGAACCCGGAGAGCCTGGTCTTCGTCCAGACAGACAAGCCCATCTACAAGCCAGGACAGGAAGGTAAGTGAGAGGCTGCAGTGGCAGCAGTGACAGTGGGAGAATCCCCTACAGATCACGCTTCCCTTTCCAAATACTTTTTATTAAGCGGACCCTTCTTGCTGTGGGAATGTTGAAGAAAGTAGGAGAGGATATATTGATCAAATATTACCCGTCCTGACTCACGCTAGTGAGCAAGCAGCAAAGCACATTCCCTTGCAGATTGTTGGAAGCAAGTTGATGGATTCGTTAGTTAAGCAATCCAGTCTGAATTGCTCCTGGTAAGTTTCCCCTCTTAAAATAATAACAACACGGCAGTCTTCTTTAAAAGTAAGAGTAAGGTTTACAGTGGACACTCGGGTTGCGAACATGATCGGTGTGGGAGGCACGTTCGCAACCCGCAGTGTTCGCAACCCGCAGCACCGCGGCTGTGTACGCGCGGGTCACAATTCGGCACTTCTGCACATGCGCAAAGTGCAATATAGTGTTTCTGCGCATGCTTGAGTGCTGAAACCCGGAAGAAACCCGTTCCGGTACTTCCGGGTTCGGCATGGTGCGAAACCCGAAAACGTGCAACCTGAAGTGTCTGTAACCTGAGGCATGACTGTACTTACATTCAGTTCACAGCAGTAATCTGAAGGCAGGCTTTGTCTTGTGGTTACAGTTACATTTGTAGAGAAAAGAAGTCTCTGAGCTAGGCCTCAGACTCTCTACCTCGTGGCTTCCATCCTTTGTTATGATGAGCCGTGTGCTGCTGGCTAAGAGCCAGCAGAGAGGAAGATGGCAAAAGAGCCAAAGAGAGGAAGATGGCTGCATGGCGGGCCCTCTTATAGGATCTGGTAGGGTCACACCCATCTACTTGTTCACACACAGGTGGAGGATGCTCCAGAGCAGGTATGACAGGAAGTCCTCCCTGTCTGAAGCAAGATTCCCCTGTGTGTCCACTCTAGGCAACAGGAAATGTTGTGTTTGACTGCTTCACTTGCCAGGGCATCAGCTGCCAAACATTCCTCTTTTGACCAGAGATTTTCCAGGGGGTTTGAACTGAGTACCATCTCCATGTGCTCTGCTCCTGAGCTGTGACACACAGAGTAGCAGAGTCACATGGAAATCCTTCCCCTCCTTCTTCCTTTCATAGTTCGGTTCCGCATCATGTCTGTGGACGAAGATTTCCGACCCTTGAACGAGACGGTGAGTTTCGTCATCACGTGCGCCATGCTGGTCTCTGGAACATTTGGTAAACCTCTTTCGATCCATGCAGACTTTTGGGCCAACAAAGAGGGATGGGACACTTTGCCCTTAAGTTAGTTAAACAAACATGGCACCCACCTCCCCCATATCCACCTCTCTGTTTCCGATGTTCAGGCTGCAAGTGCTGATCTTCATAAAGCTCGAAACAGCAACATGCATGCGCAGGAAGGGGTGGCGACTAGCAGCTTATGAGGAACTTCAAGGTTTGGAGAAGTATATTACATCTCCAAGAACTGAATCCAAAGGTTGCGAGGAGGAGTGGCTGCTGTTATGGAACATTGCATGTTTGCAGAGGAAGGACTTTCGTAATGCAAGGATGCTTGGGCTTATTTCCATCTTTCCTCTCCACCCATCTCACACGAACCCCTTCTGTAGGGTTCTTGCCAGAACCAGGCCTGGCAGCATCAGGGCTGGAGGGTAGAGATTGCTTGACATACCCCAGGGGGGCATTTTACTCCTCCCCAGTTGGGGAGAGCAAGACCTTCTCTACTGGACTTGCCCACCTGATGGGAATGTATATGCTCTGACCTGTGGCCTTTGCTTCTTTTAAGCACTATGCTATTTTTATTGATGAGTTGTTTTATTTGTTGATTGGCAAGGAAAAATGAGTAGAAGCAGGAGAATTCCTTTATGCAAAGATCCAGGTTAGGAGCAAGTACTCTTTGATGAGGAAACCCCTGCAGAGATTTAAAATCACAACACAATTCAAGGCGTGGAAATATAAGCTGCTAGAGCTTTAAATATGCCCTTCTAAGTTCCTTCCAAAGTTTTCCACTTCCCCTAGTGTAGAAAAAGGCAACACTTTGAAAATGGTTTACTTACAAACTCTGCAAAGGTCAGGTTCATGTGTTTTTCCATACAGCTTTCAGAAAACATAGGCAGTAGGACTTACCTTTTAATGTGCAATGTTTTATTGTGTTTTTATATATGTTGGAAGCCGCCCAGAGTGCCTGGGGCAACCCAGTCAGATGGGCGGGGTACAAATAATAAAATTATTATTATTATTATTACAGGCTAGTTCCAAAGTGATGAAAATTCCTAAATTGTTTATATAGGAACACAAGGATGGCTTTGTTTTTTAAAAAAAGTCATTCACTGTGAGCTTGGAGCAACCAGCTCAGACCTTTTTACAGGCCGGGATTGACATGGTAGAATGAAGAAAACAATAGGACAAAAAGTCTTCCTCCCAAAGTGAAGTGGAGTGACTTACCTAGGCCTGGCAGGACAGTTTACTCTATGACATTAACCCCTTCGTGCATAAATTAGACTTCAGCTGGGTATCCAGCATGATTAACTGGTGAATTATGGTGAAGGAGCTTAGAGATATTGGAAACAAACAAATCAAGGTGGGAGCAGGTTTGTGTGGTGCTGGGAGGGGTAACACCATTCACTGCTGTCTCTGACCCCCCCCTCTTTTTTTTACTCCACAGTTTCCATTGGTTTACATCCAGGTAAGTGTCTAATTCCCCGCCTCTACTCCACCACCTCTCATCATCACACCAGAGCGGCTGTTACATTGCCCCACTCAGACCACCTTTCCTAATATCCAGAGGCTGCTTCATTCCATAGCTTCCCCATAAGCTGCTCAGATCCCCTGAGGGTTTTAATTTTGCCATCCTTAACAAGTGTTACGCGCCTAAGTTCATCTCTTCCTGCAACCCCTTTGTGGGGTTCTTCAAAAGAAAAAACCCGGCAGCAGTTTTGGAGGGACCATTAAGTGCGACTGAAAAGACTATTTGGCCCATGAGGGAAATGGCTAGGACCTTCTCCTGTGCTACATCATCATCATTTGTTTTTTTAAATATTTCACTCATCCAAGCAGCCTGTCGACATCCTTGGAGGTCACAGATTGGAACTGAATCCACGCAACCTGGCTAGACAGGACTCTAGCATTCTCCTGCCAGGCCCTGTTCCCACGGTGGAGTCTACCTCTTTCCGAATCTGAGCGACTTTGCAAAATCATTGCAGGAGATCTTGGGGTCCTTACCAGGCTCTGAAAGCGAAGGTGGTTCCGTTAGATTGTGAACCACCTGAAAGGGTCTCCTGCTACTGTTTCCTGTGGATGCATTAACACCCCATAACCGATTTATGAGACTAAAACATGGAACTATAATCTCTGGGGTGTAACCATGATGGATATTGTTAGTGCTTTTGAAGGAACTGTTTTAGCGTGTATTTTAAATTATGTGTGGCTTTTGGAATTGATTTTATACTTTTAAAATTGATTTTGTACTTGCAAACTGCTTAGAAGACATTAGAAGAGCATCTTTTCCTGCCCACTTTCCCCTCTCCTGGGGAATTAACTAGTTTTCGTGGTTCCTCAAATAGACCTCAGTCTGTTTTGCCATCCTTGGTTAGCAATGCCCCCACCTCCTTAAGAGTGTTCAAACATCCATCCAGATACCAATAGCCCAGGAAGCCTTTGCAGGAGCCACAGGTTTTCTTAACCACTGATTGTCAGTGCGCCTTTCAACCGATGTCAGCGACTTGGCTCAATAACTGGTTCTGGCCCGACTGGACTGGAGCACTTTCAGAGACCTTCCAACCCTGGAAAACAGGTCCCAGCGCACTGGACCCACAACTGTGCATTGTGAGCACCAGACTCAGGCAGAGTATAAATAACGTGGAAGCTTGCTGTGAAGCATAACTCCTTTTATTTCTAATAAGGTAAAGGTGAAGGGACCCCTGACCATCAGGTCCAGTTGTGGCCGACTCTGGGGTTGCGACGCTCATCTTGCTTTATTGGCCGAGGGAGCCGGCGTACAGCTTCTGGGTCATGTGGCCAGCATGACTAAGCCGCTCCTGGCGAACCAGAGCAGTGCATGGAAACACCATTTACCTTCCCGCTGGAGTGGTACCTATTTATCTACTTGCACTTTGACGTGCTTTCAAACTGCTAGGTTGGCAGGAGCAGGGACCGAGCAACGGGAGATCACCCCGTCGCGGGGATTCGAACCGCCGACCTTCTGATTGGCAAGCCCTAGGCTCTGTGTTTAACCCACAGTGCCACCCGTATCCCTTTATTTCTAATAGCTACTACAAACTAACAAACTACTGGCTTGCCTAAGTGTTACATCTCCCACTCAGCCATCTGGTCACTACGTAGACAAGACTCTCTCCACACACAGAGTCAGGCAGTCAGCCAGGAGCGGAAGAGGAGAAGAGCAGTTTCTGTCCCCTCCTTTCTCAAAACATCAGATCAGGAGATTCTGTCAGTGGGAGGGGTGAAAATATCAACACTGATATGGCTCAGCATGGTCCCATTTTGGGCCAGCTGCAGCTTAGACCCCGTCCCAGCTTTCAACCTGAGCGGTGTCATGCGTGGAGAGTCTGCCTCCCTCTTTGGTAACTTCACAGATAAGAATTAAAGAGTGCTTTATATTTTATAGTCCTTTTTATTCAGGCATCAGGTTGTAAGCCAAAATCCACATCCCTCCCCAAGGAGAGCAGTTGGCTCCTCTAAATCTCCTCCCTTCTGTCCTCCGCTATAGGCTCCAACAGGAAGTTCCTCCTCCTCCTCTCTGCAACCTTTGCTCTCAAATATGTTTGGATCTCCTAGCTTGTGGAGAGGGAGGTGTTGGAAAAACACCTGGGCATGGCTGCCAACTTCCCAGGTCTTTGGGGCGTCTCTCCAGTGGTCCTCTCTGGCTATAAATCTCCTTCAGTCCAGAGAGACCGGTGATAGGTGACCCTCCTCTCCTGAAAAGAGCACATCAGTCTTCTGGCATATCATAGCAGAAGAAAGACTAAGTTTGTAGTTCTAAACTAATTTATTTACAGTCGATATACAGAGACTCCATCAGTATGTCTGTGCTCTCTGAAACCAGTACAAAACTGCAACACACACAGAAGTGAAACTAAACTTCCAACAGTACTCAGAAGGAAGAGATAATACAGACTTCCTTTCTCACGCTCTCTCAGACACTCACATGATGTATACAATCATAGTACCACTCGCTGGAGCAGCTTGGATCGATAAAAATCCTAACAGGAGGGTCCCCCACACTCTCTAATGACATCTCTGCTATCTGTCCCCTCCCTTCTGTTTCTCTGGTCGTTATCTCATAGCTAGGTAACTCCTGCCAAAGCTGCTCTCTATTTCTCCCTGCTTCTGAGCCCGCTGGAAACAAGGGTGTGTGTGTGAATCTTCCCGCTCCAGCTCCTCTTCTGAGGAAAGCTGATCTGCCTGCGAATGCACTCCCCCCATACTCTGCTTCAGACCATTCCCTGACAAACGGCTTCTTCCGTGATCCCCCTCTTCTCTTGTGGCTCCCAGGACCCCAAGAGGAACCGCTTGCTGCAGTGGACCAACGTGGAGCAGACAATGGGCCTGGTCCAGCTCTCTTTCCCCCTTTCCTCTGAGCCCCCGCAAGGCACCTACAAAGTGGTGGTGCAAAAAGCCTCCGGGAACAAGGCGGAACGTCTCTTTGAGGTGAAGGAATACGGTGAGGAAGGAAGGAGAGGAATCACTTGGTCTGGGGAACGTGGTGTCAAGGACAGCATGTGGAAGGGGGTATTTTCTTGCACACTGGCAGCGCCACTCAGGAATTCTGATAGAAACTGACAGATCAGTGCAGTTTTGAAACCAGTGGAAGAAATCTTTGGAAAGATTTGGCCTGCATTGTGCCCAGTTGGATTGAAACATAGACAGAAGCCTGCAAAAGGATCATGCAAAATTGGGTTCTTAGATAGCTCGAGAGGCGTGCAAATGCATAGTGAACAGCTTCCCAAAATATCTGGCCCTATGGCCAGGTTCAGCGAACTGGTCCTGCTACTGGAAGCAAGTGCACCAGGGCTTTCTTCCGCCCTGCCCCCCCATGTCCCGCAAACAGTGGCGTAGCGTGAGTTGCCAGTGCCCAGGGCTGCACAGAGGGAAATGGAAGGAGTATGCATGCACATTCATCTGCCTAACAGCCAGGGGATCGCAGCCACAAAAACATGAAGAGTTGTTCTGTTGTCTGGAGAGGTCACTTCCTGGTTCACATGGGTGGCTGGGTATGGGAGAGTTGCCTGTGTGAGTAGGGCGGATCTTGGGGGCTGGAGACAGGAACAGGTCTTGCTCTGTGCTGGATCCAAAACTTAGTTCGGGGCACATGCGCCAGCTCCTAGGGACTGAGGCACTTTCGTCCCGTCCCCCCAAATGTGTGGGTTTTTTTGAGGGGGGCGAACTCCCTCAGTGTTCAGAGGGTTCAGAGGCTCTGCCCCTGGCTCCTTGTGACATCGCCCGCTTGATGTCAGAATGTCGCGTTGGGCCCCCCAATCTTGAGAAGATGGCACCTCTGATTTTGGGGCTTCCCTGGAAACCTAATGGGGAAAAAAATCTGTTGTGGGGTGTTAATGCTGCACGCATTTGCCTCCTTTCTGTGCTCAGGCTGATTATGTTGTTTTTCACCCCCGTGTTCCTTTCCTTCTTACAGTGCTGCCCAAGTTCGAAGTTTTGGTGAAGGCACCCAAGGAGATAACATTTGTGGCTGAGGAACTCGAAGTGACCGTCTGTGGCCTGTAAGTGAGAGCAGCCTGAGCTTCTCTCCCAGAGATGTGGGACCACGTGAATTGAGAACTTGGGTGATGTTGCTAGCACCAGCTAACCTCTCCTCCAATCCCCTTCACCAGCCTTGGCCGCACCACCCTGGCTCCGATGGAATGATTGCCATGTTGTTGTTTAGTCATGTCCGACTCTTCGTGACCCCATGGACCAGAGCACGCCAGGCACTCCTGTCTTCCACTGCCTCCCGCAGTTTGGTCAGACTCATGTTTGTAGCTTCGAGGACACTGTCCAACCATCTCGTCCTCTGTCGTCCACTTCTCCTTGTGCTCTCAGTCTTTCCCAACATCAGGGTCTTTTCCAGGGAGTCTTTTCTTCTCATGAGGTGGCCAAAGTATTGGAGCCTCAGCTTCACGATCTGTCCTTCCAGTGAGCACTCAGGGCTGATTTCCTTAAGAATGGATACGTTTGATCTTCTTGCAGTCCATGGGACTCTCAAGAGTCTCCTCCAGCACCATAATTCAAAAGCATCAATTCTTCGGCGATCAGCCTTCTTTATGTTCCAGCTCTCACTTCCATACATCACTATTGGGAAAACCATGGCTTTAACTATACAGGCCTTTGTTGGCAAGGTGATGTCTCTGCTTTTTAAGATGCTGTCTAGGTTTGCCATCACCTTTCTCCCAAGGAGCAGTCATCTTTTAATTTCATGACTGCTGTCACCATCTGCAGTGATCATGGAGCCCAAGAAAGTAAAATCTCTCACTGCCTCCATTTCTTCCCCTTCTATTTGCCAGGAGGTGATGGGCCCAGTGGCCATGATCTTCGTTTTTTTGGTTGCCATAGTTGCATTGAATTCCTCACAATGCTGGGCCGCTTATGCCGGGCTTATTTCACCCAGAACTCCCTTGAACTCCATTCCGGAACCTCTCAGGTGGGCACCTTTGCCACCATAAGAGAACCTTGGTTTCCAGACATTTTGGAAGTCAAATGGACTTCCAGAACAGATTCCGTTTGACTTCCAAGGTACCACTGTATATTGATGTCATCTTTCAAGCGATGCTGTGGCTGTTTCCTGACTACAGGTACACGTACGGGAAGCCTGTCGCTGGGCAGGTGAAGGTCCGTGTTTGCCGGAAATATAATGAACACAGAGGCTGGCATGTTTATTCCAGTTCCGGAGGGGGCTGTCACAGAGAAGCGTCGGAAGGAATATGTGAAGAGTTCAGTGGAGAGGTGAGACCCAAAGCGGACGCTGAAAATGAAGTTTAAAATACTTTTGGGGAGTTGGCCTTCCCGGGTGACCTGTTTTAATTGGGCATTCATCCTGATTTACTCAAGGGGAGTCCCAAGGCTCTGGGAGAAACCCCGGAATGGCATTCAGCAGGAGAAGAGGGAAATATAATTCCATCAGACAAGCTAAAATGATTGAAATGGTGGATATGGCTGCAGGAATATATATTTGCTCATTTTGTTGGTGCCTGTTGTTCCTCACTGAAGTCTCTTCAAAAACCTGAAGAACATTTGATCCCTTTGTCCAGAAAGTATCTGGGGGGCTACATGCCCATCTGGGGGGATTTAAAAAAAATAAAAACAAATGTCCTAGTTTGGGGGGGGTTAAATTTTGTTAAATTTTTTCGTGTATTTTTTCGTGTACTGGCAGCTCTGGCTCTGGCTTTCGATCTGCCGTGGGCTGCTTGGTGATGTCAGATAACTGGGGGGAGAGCGAGTGATCATCAACTTTTTTGGCGATCGCCCAAGGAAAGCTCAACAAATGTCCAGATTTTTCCTCTTGAAATATTACTCGCCTTGTATAAACAGACAGATATAAATGAATGAGTGTGCCTAGATCAGTGGCTATTGTGTGAACCTGACTGGCTTGACCTCAAACACCTTGTTTTGTCAAAACAAAAAAAAAATTCCTTCCAGTAGCACCTTAAAGACCAACTAAGTTAGTTCTTGGTATGAGCTTTCGTGTGCAAGCACACTTCTTCAGATACACTGATATACGTGCTTGCACACGAAAGCTCATACCAAGAACTAACTTAGTTGGTCTTTAAGGTGCTACTGGAAGGAATTTTTTTTTGTTTTGACTATGGCAGACCAACACGGCTACCTATCTGTAACTGGAACCTTGTTTTGTGTAATGACGCAATTCTCATCGGTAGCTGCTACAACTCTCTGTCTTCCGGTTCAGGCGAATGGGCACGGCTGCCTCTCTCAGGTGGTGAAAACCAAGATTTTTCATCTGAAGCGGGAGGGATATGAGATGAACCTAAAGGTGGAAGGCAAGATCGAAGAGGAAGGCACAGGTATTTTATTTTATTTATTAAATTTATCTCCCACCAGTCCTCCAAAGGAGCCCAGCATGTCAGTTTTAAAGCCATTCAGCTAAGAAAAATCTTCTGGAAACGTTTGAAAACTCCTAAAAGCAATCACCCTGTTATGTACTGAGTGGAATGGGATCCAAAAGGCAGCAGTCTGATTGGCCCTAGAACAATAGGATTCAGAATGTAGCAGTCTGATTGGTCCTAGAACAATAGGATTCAGAATGCAGCAGTCTGATTGGTCCTAGAACAATAGGGTCCAGAATGCAGCAGTCTGATTGGTCCACAGGAGCCATCCAATCCAGCTCCAGGTGGAAGTGAATCTGCAACCTGATTGGCCTACAGGTGAATCCCGGAATTAGCCAATCACGTGGGGCCCATTGTGTAAACAATGTATATAAAGCAGACATTCTGGGGGAACTTCCATTCCTCCTCACCACTATGAGCTGAATAAAGAGCATGAAATCCAGTCTTGATTCAGAGTATATTTCACACCCGCTCTGAAAACCTAACAGTTTCAGGGGCAGGTTTTTCAGCCGACAAATGCTTAGGACAAACAGGGTTGGTCTTGCCATGTCTCCTATAAGTAGTGCTTTTTTTCCGGGGGGATGCAGGGGGACGCGTACCCCTAAACATTTTGGGTTGCCCTGACCGACCGATGGACCAACCGACATGCCAGCTGTCTTCGCAGTAGTAGCTCGGACTGGAGCTCTGTCATTCTCTCTGCTGGTGCCCAGGCAGGGGAGTCTGGGGCGGCCATGGTGTATGGGTTCTGAAGGCAAAGGAAGGACTGGACCCTGATTAATTCAATAGACACGAGGCTTGACCAGCAAGACTCTGGGAGCAAGTGCGATAGCCACTCCCTGGCCCAGGCCGTTTTTATTAACAAAAGAACTTTAACACAGCATTTGTAATAACCAATCAGCTTTCCTCTGAGCATTTCAAAAAATCCCCATGTGGGAAGAAAGTCAGATCAGAGGAAGCTGAAAAGGAAAACAGGAAGACACAATGAGAGGTAAAGGGGGTGCTGTGGGATTGGTGGAAGTCAATGTTTGTTTTTCTTTTTAGTGTTTATATTATTAACTTGTAAGATATGGAATTCTTTTTTGAATGTCAGTTTTTGTGTTTTGTGTATTGTTATTTTTTGATATTGTTTTGTGTTGTTGTGTGGAAAATACTAATAAAATTTATAATAACAATAAGAAAATAAAAATACTAAATCATAAAAAACAGATCAGAGGAAGCTTCTTAACTACAAAGAACTACTTGAGCATGCATACATGTTTAGGCTAAATAAAACAGGAAACAAGGAGGAATGCATTTAGCAAACCCTGGAGGTCATAAACAGGCAGAAAACAGGAAAGACAGGCATTTTTATCACCTGCATGTGAACTCTGTTTCCTGGCCCTAAGATTAACAAAAGTTACATCAAAGCTACCTCCTATCTTTATGTACTCAGGATGCCTGGTGAAGCAACCAGTCTGTGTATGTCACTGTCAGGCATAGAGAAAATGGGGCAGAGAGGCAGAGGCTTGGATTGATCAGAAATCATGTCAAATGACTTGTTACCGGAAAATCCGAGGGTCCTCTTGGGCAAATGAAGACACCGACTAGAGCAATCAGAGCAAAACAGCAGCCAGTAGGCTTGGTCTTTATTAAAGAAAAGACTGTCGCGACAGGACTCCCACCGCCCACAAGGTGAAGCAAGATGGAAGCCCCGAACAAAAGGAGACCCCAGCTTTTATTAGTTACTAATCCCCTAAGCTACACCCTCAGAATTACATCATATTTACATCATGATTATATTAAAAATAGGAGGAGCTGGGGAGGGGTTACACAGGTAATCCGAGTGTCCTGACACCTGGCCGGAACCTACTTCCCCCTCCCCACATGAGTCATGTTTAAGAACAAAGGAGAAGGGTGAAGTTTCCTGTCCCCTGAGGGGAATCTTGTCATAGTCCTTTGTGAGAGTCTGTGCAGAATACACTAAGATATGCAGTTCATTGTATCACTGATAGCCTTCTGTCTGAGTCCATCACCTGTGGCTATCAAGGTTGTCACGTCTACTTGGAGGGAGCACAGAGTACGTGACTGCTCGGTCAAAGGATTATGGCCGCTCGATACTAGACCACCCCCCTTTGATAGTCTTTGTAATATCCAGCAGAATAAAAGTGGTCCGGTGAGAATCCAAAGTACGGTTGATTTTTAGTGAATTTATAGAGAATATTGTCCTTGAAGTTCAAAGTACTTTCCCTTCAGGAAGCGGCTTGCTACATTTTGATTAGATCAGTCACGGTCAATTGAACTCGGAAACTTTGTATTGAGAGCTGTCAAAGGTAAGGGGAGAGAGCGGCAGTAGCCTGCAGTACCTGCGTGGCCGCCGCAAGGGGCGCTGTTTGATAATGCTGATTGGCTGTGGCGGCCGTCGATTGACAGCAGAACTCGGTTGGCCGGTCTACTCACAATACAGATAGGGCGAAGTGGAGCATTATAGCGGGAAGCTGTCAGGTCAGCGCTTCCTTATTTACGGAAGGCTTATAAGGGGTGGCCCTCTAAAGGGACACCCCTGGCTTAGGAAGGGAGATGTGTGTATGTGTGAGTGTGGTGCTTGTGCAAACACGTGTTAGCGTGTGGGGGGGGGGGCGATTTCCGGCGACAGACTCAAACCCAGTCAATACAATGGCTGACACAATGGCTTGCTTCATTTTTTCATAATTCCTCATAGCAACCCCACGTGACCACCACAGCGGTGGAGGCAACGCTACTACTGCTCCTCTTCCTCTTCCTCTTCCTCTTGCCAGGCTAGAGCCAGGAGGCGAGTTCTTGCCCCTCTTTGCTCAAGCAACCCTGCTGTTGCCGGGGGCCTCCCCGTCCTCTCAGCGCCATCGCTGTCGCCTCGAGTCCCTTGTCCAGGGGTTTGGGGCAGGAAGGGGGCGAGGGGGAGCAGCCAAAATGAGAGTACCCCTAAACATTTTTTAAAGAAAAAAAGCACTGCCTATAAGTTACTAATGAAGGAGACTGATACACCTCCCTAGGAAGGCATTTCATCACCAGGGAGCCACCACAGAGTGGGCCCTGTCATGAGTCACCAAAAAACAGGCACCCTCAGCGTTTGGCCTAACCAAGAGGGCCTCTTCTGCTCATAAGTAGGGCCCGAGATGGTTGATATTGGGAAAGGTGCTCTTTCATGTACTTTTAGGCACAGGTATGTGTGAACCAAGGAAGGACCAGGGTCCAGGGGCTTATTATGGTTCCCTGGCCTCTCCCATTGAAAGGATCAGGCTCCTGCCACTATGGGTAGACAATGCTACTGGCCAAAAGGGAGAAATTGTCTAGCCTGACAAAAGAAGGGCAGCATTTTAAGCAAAGCAGAAGCCGGCAATGGAGCTTGTGAGGGCAGACAGGAGGGACAGAACATTCCCTCGCTTACCCACCTTCCCTTCCCCCCCCTTTTACTTTTTTATTGATTTGTTAACAAAATGAGTGCAAACATAAGAAAAAGAAAGAAAACTAAGAATTGGTAACGCAAACCATGAAGCGTCACAGCCTAGAAGGGTGAAATGCAAAGATACAGCACATCTCCAAAAAAGGATAACAAAGTTTTATCTCCTATACGGATACCCTTTACAATAATAAAGATTTATAAAAATAAAAGTATTCTCCACCTGTGAGTCCCATCTTTATTGGAATAAAGGTTCCATATAGATCAGACATTTGCATATGCAAACGGCACCAACTATGTGCCTCAATATTTGTATAAGAATATTTGCATAAGAAAATCATGCCACACATTGAAAAGAAATTCAGAAAGAAATTATTGATTCAAGCTCTGCCCTTTGGGTACTTTTTCAAGATGGGCAATTTGTGAAACCCTTGAACACCAGCAATCCCAAATATTAAGATTAAGGATATTCTAGGATTTGGCAACACAGCCTTGAGCTGCTCTTAAGAGATGAGAAGTAAGTTATTTACTTTTCAAATCCCATTCTGTTTCCATATAGGTTCAAAATTGCCAGGTGGAAAGATAGAGTAGCAGTTTGTTTGTTTGTTTACCAAAGAGATCTCAGCAAATGCCTTATTCCACAATTCAGCCACCTCTGAGCAGTCCCACCATGTGTGCTTATATGTACCTACCTCTCTTTGGCTATTTGGCAGGGGTGGAATTGACAGGCACGGCTTCCACCATGATCATTACGACTCTCAGCACAACCACCTTTGAGAATGTGGACTCTTACTACAAGCCTGGGATCCCCTTTATTGGGCAGGTAAGGCAGGCTGAGAGATCCCCACTGCGCACGACCCCACAGCTGAATGTTTGTTTTAAAGACAAATGTTCCCCGTATGCACTGGAACAGGAGGATGGATGGTCCAGGGTGGTTAGCAATTCAGCCCCCACCCCTCATCTCCAGTTCCGACCTCTGAGGTGCCACCTCTGGAATCCTGATGCAATTTGTGTGTCCTCAACCTTCTCCATCCTCACCCACCTGAACTTATAGAACGCCCCCTACAGACAGTCATCTCCCTCAGAGGCGGAGTAAGGTGGGTGCGGTGGGTGTGCCCCCCCGGGTGTCATTCCCGAGGGGGGTGACATCACTGTGCCACCCCCTGGGATGCTCAGCGCAGGCGGCACACCCCTGGGACACGCACTCCCCGGGACGTTCACCTCACCCCCGTGGGCGGCTAGCCCCGCCCCCAGGTGCACACCACTCTGGGCGCCGGAACAGCTAGCTCCACCACTCATCTCCCTCCCAATTCATATGGGCTACTGCTAAAATGAGGCTGCATTTTAAGCTGTATTTTAAGCCGTATTTTAATTAACTGTTTGTTTGTTGTTGTATTTTTTTCTGTTATGTTTTATTGAAATTCATATTTGGTGTTAGCTGCTCTGAGCCCGGCCCTGGCCAGGGCGGGCGGGATATAAATAAAATTTTATACAGTCATACCTCTTCTTGGGACGCGGGTGGCACTGTGGGTTAAACCACAGAGCCTAGGACTTGCCAATCAGAAGGTCGGCGGTTCAAATCCCCGCGACGAGGTGAGCTCCCGTTGCTCAGTCCCTGCTCCTGCCCACCTAGCAGTTTGAAAGCACGTCAAAGTGCAAGTAGATAAATAGATACCGCTTCGGCGGGAAGGTAAACGGCGTTTCCGTGCGCTGCTCTGGTTCGCCAGAAGCGGCTTAGTCATGCTGGCCACATGACCCGGAAGCCATACTCTGGCTCCCTCGGCCAATAAAGCGAGATGAGCGCCGCAATCCCAGAGTCGGTCACGACTGGACCTAATGGTCAGCGGTCCCTTTACCTTTACCTTACCTCTTCTTACATTCGGTTCAGGTTATGTCTTTTCAGGTTGCGCCCCATAGCGACCCAGAAGTACTGGAAAGGGTTACTCCCGCGTTTCGCTGTTAGCGCATGCGCAGGTGCTCAAAATGACATCATGCGCATGCGCGGAAGCGGAGAATCGCAACCCGTGCACGTGCAGACGCGGGTTGCGTTCTGCTCATGTTGCGAATGGGGCTCTGGAACGGATCCTGTTCGCAACCAGAGGTACCACTGTAATCATCAACATCATCTTCATCATCATCATCAGACCAAACTGCTATATGTATTGTTTTTGCCCTGCTAGGTGATGCTTTTGGATGCTGCCAAAGTGCCAATTGCCAATCAAACAATTCAGATTAGGGTACATCTAACTGGAACCAGCACCAAGTACGTAACTGATGACCAGGGACGAGCCCATTTTTCCATAGACACTGATAACTTCACAGCTCCTGAACTCAGGATCCAGGTGAGCGTTCAAGGGGATTGAGAACTAAATAAGGCAGATTTATTCTTCACAAGCACAAAACACGGGAATATCATAGAATTGTAAGAGTCTTAAAGTTGGAAAGGGACCTCCAGGGGTCATCTAGTCCAACCCCCTGCAGGAATCTCAGCTAAAGCATCCATGACAGATGGCCACCCAACCTCTCCAATATCAATTGGATCGGTTGAAATTTAAAAAAATGCTTTGAGATTCAGTTTCCTGTGGCTCCTACTTTTTTCTTTTCTCTTTCTCCTTCATCACCTTTTCTGGGTTTGTCATTTCCCGTTAATTTCATTTCCATTTCTGAATCCAGGAAATGTATTGGGACTAGAAAAATACCCCCCCCAAGGGCTGGGACTGTGTATGTGATGGCAGAAATGGCTGTTGGGTTGATACGTCTGACTCTTATTTTCTCCTAAAGGTGTGTGTTGGTTGCTGGGCATGCAAATAGGTCTGAGATGAATCTCGAACTGGTGTAATATCACAAAGTTGATCTCATAGTCCCCAAGGCACCAATGATTCCCTAATACAGGGACAACAAGGATTTATTTTCTCCAGTCCCTGAGCACCCGCCATTTTCCTCTTTCTTTCTGTTTGCCAGGCAACTTATAAATCGAACTCTGCGTGTGAACAAGGCTGGATCAGTCCCCAACACCAGGGCACATCTCATTCAGCGGGGCGTTTTTACTCACCAAGCCAAAGCTACCTCCACATTGAGCGTGTTGCTGGGACCTTAAGCTGTGGTCAGACTCAGACGCTCCGGGTCCATTATATTCTGAATTCAGCTGTCGTAAAAGAGCAGGAGATGGCCTTTTACTATTTGGTAAGCCTGAACAGAGTGGCCTTTCTTTGGTAGGGACTTGGGAGTGGGCCTTCTCAGTGGCTGCTCCCAACGTTTGGAACCCTATTTAGGGAAGTTTTTAATGTTTGATGTTTTAGCGTATTTTTAATATTCTGTTGGAAGTCACCCAGAGTGGCTGGGGAAACCCAGCCAGTTGGGCGGGGTATGATATTATTATTATTATTATCATCATCATCATCATCATCAGGGGACTGCCATTGGAACAGGGCAGGGAGGCCGGGAGGAACTCCTGAGGAGCAGTTCCTCCTTCAGCGGTGGGAAAAGCCACACCTCCAGTGGAGAACAAGGGGAAGGGGCCAGCCAAGCAAGGAAAGGGCTTGAAGATGCTGCTGAGAGCCCCAGCGCCTCACCTAGCCAGGCTGGGCAGGAGGGACGCATGCCCCTTCCGTCGCCCAGCTTGCACAGAGGGGTGAAACACAAAGAGGGGAGGCGGAGGCTTGGGGTACCAAAGTTCTTATGCCGGGGGAGAAGCCAGAAGGGGCCACTCCTGGATTCTGCAAGTGACTAAGACGGACATGAACTTTGTGGTTCTGCATTGTAAATAGTTTGCACAATAAAACCTGTAAAAGACAGGTCAGAGTCCTGCCTGGTTACTCACGAGCAACCACCACCCGCACCTGACACTTATTATTATTATTATTATTATTACTCTTCATAGAGAAGTTAGACTGGCTCCCTTGTCGTCCGTCTGCCAGCTGTTTTATTCTGACAGGCCTTTGTGAACTGACTGGTTTTTGGTTTTTTTAAGGAAAGGACTTTGAATAGTGCTCATTCAAATCCATTTTCAGCTGCCAAACTGTTTGATTTCTAATTGCAAAGATAGGCTCAAGCGTAATGGCAATTCATGTTGTACTACCAGGAGAGAGATTGTTTCTGGAAGCCAGAACACTCCCTGTGTGTAAGAACTGCTGGCGTATCAGTGTAACCATATATTTTGCCTCCTCCATCCTCATCCAGCTTATAGGCAAATGGGTGGCCACAGTGAGAGTAAGATGCTGAACTAGATGGACCACTGGCCTGACCTAGCAGGCTGTTGTGTTCTTAGGCTTTTATCAGGCGTTTTCCGCCTTCTATGCAGGTGATGGCTAAGGGGGTCATTGTGCGATCAGGGACCCATGTTCTGCCTGTGGAGCACAGAGAAGGTAAGTGGCACTCTATTCCCATTTCCTCCATTCTTGGGGACCTTTCAAATTTTAAATAAACCAAGGTGATAACGTAAACCAGGGGTCAGCAAACTATTTCAGCAGCGGGCTGGTCCACTGTCCGTCAGACCTTGTGGGGGGCCGGACTATATTTTGGAAAGAAATAATGAACAAGTTCCTATGCCCCATAAATAACCCAGAGATGCATTTTAAATAAAAGCACCCATTCTGCTCATGTAAAAATACTAGGCAGGCCCCACAAATAACCCAGAGATGCATTTTAATAAAAGGACACATTCTACTCATGTAAAAACATGCTGATTCCTGGACCGTCCACGGGCCAGATTTAGAAGGTGATTGGGCCAGATCCGGCCCCTGGGCCTTAGTTTGCCTACCCATGATGTAAACCCACACCTTAGTACAGTGCCACCACATATGCTTCCATGTGCCCTTGCGGTTCTTGCATGACATGTTTCAGAGTTTCCTCAATTTTATACTCATAGACAATATAATTTTACACTCATGAATTGTAATCGTTCTCTTCCTCCCTCTCTTCCTCCTTGGGAATTTTGTGTCAGTGCGCTATGCCAATCGTTTGGGGTTCCCTTTTCAGTCAGCAATGTCACCCAGAAAGTCTCCCAGAATATACTTCCTCAGTTCAGCTCACCTGTGGGAATAAACACATTCCAGTTCTTCTTTAAGTATCGATGGAAGAATTAACATTACAACTTATACAACTGCTGGCCTAAGGAAAATACAGTAAAACTATGTACAATGGTACCTCGGGTTACATACGCTTCAGGTTACATATGCTTCAGGTTATAGACTCCGCTAACCCAGAAATAGTGCTTCAGGTTAAGAACTTTGCTTCAGGATGAGAACAGAAATCGTGCTCCAGCGGCGCGGCAGCAGCAGGAGGCCCCATCAGCTAAAGTGGTCTTCAGGTTAAGAACAGTTTCAGGTTAAATACGGACCTCCGGAATGAATTAAGTACTTAACCCGAGGTACCACTGTACAGAGAATCATTCCTCCTCCCTGCTCTGCAGCCATCTGAGCAGAGTACCAACCACACTTCCTCCTTCAGAGCCTGTCTAATAAAGAAGTCTGTTGCCAAGGAAACCCTGTTGCTGGGGAAGACCTGTTGCTAGCAGAAAGCTTGTTGCTAGGGGCAGATTTGTTGTTAGGGGCAAAACTATGCAAGGATCATTTCAAGTCTATTTTTAGACTTACACTAACATTTCGTTATCTACCAGCCAAAGGTGTGTTTTCTCTGGACCTCTCTGTTGACGTGGACATTGCTCCATTGGCCCGTTTGCTTCTCTACACGATTTTGCCCAGTAGAGAACTAGTGGCCCATTCAGCAGATTTCACCGTGGAGAACTGCTTCGCAAACAAGGTAAGGTTGTGGGGACTCTCTGAGGCCCAGGGCAGACATGGCCATGAGGCTCTCTCTTTCCTCTCCGGCATAAACCTTTGCCAAAGTTCTCACTTGGTAGTCCATAGAGCACCGTTTTTTCCAGCTGGACCAGCAGAATATTAACTTGTTGGCAGCTGAGGAGGGCAACCCAAGCTGAGAAAACAAATCCCAGAAGGGATTATCTCTGTGCTGTCATGTAATAGAATGAACGCTTCAAATGCCCTTTCTATAATAATTTTTATTAATTTTTCAATTACAATCCAATAATAGCCTCATTATAACAATACCAAATTGCAATACAATTACTAAAAGCAATAATAATAATAATAATAATAATAATAAGAAGAAGAAGAAGAAGAAGAAGAAGAAGAAGAAGAAGAAGAAGTAGTTTATTATTTGTACCCTGCCCATCTGGCTGGGTTTCCCCAGCCAATCATTCATATACCAAATTATATAATTTTGGTGGCCCCCTGGATGCAAGATTTGATGGTTTGATGATTTTCTTTACTTCTGCGTTCCAAAATCTTATTAATTTCAATTACATTCCGGTCAAAATAATAATCCCTTATCCATCAACTGCAATATTAATAACTTCCATTTGTGGTGACACATTAAATGATTTATAAATCTACAAGTGAGGCACCCCAACTATATCCCTTTTCTTCCTGTGTGTGACAATTATTTTGTGGTGTTTCTTCCTGTCCTTGTAAAATGTTATGTCTGCCTTTTCCCAGTTGTTGCTGTTCTCCACCATGCCTTGGTTGATACCCCCTTGTTGTTTCAGAAATTATCCATTGCTCCGTCCTGTGCTTTGTTGTTTTGCAACTTTAACAACAGCTTCAAAAATCACTCCGTCCCAATAAATAACCTGTTTTCACAATTTTTTCAAATGCCCTTTATGCCTCCAGGTGAATCTGCGGTTCTCTGATGCTGAAGGCCTCCCTACCAGCAAAACTCACCTCCATCTTGCTGCCTCCAAAGGCTCCCTTTGTGCTGTCCATGCTGTCGATAAGAGTGTCTTTCTCTTGAAGCCCGAAGCTGAGATGTCCCCTAAGACTGTGAGTCAAATCTGCTTTTGAAGCTGTCTTCAAGTGTAACATTCCCAGAGCCACTTTTGCGCTTCCGTGCCATGGGGTGTGCTGATGCCATGTACACGAGCCGTGTGGCATGTATGTCCGGTGTGCTGACTGTTGGGATGCATCCAAGGGAACGGGGGCAATTGGCAGGCCCCCAGCTGGCTCCAGCCCACTGGCCGGCAGCCAGGCGATCTCCGGTCCTTGGTGCAGCATGAATCTGCGACCCAGAGCTTCAGAAGCTTCAGAAGCTGGGCACGCAACTCGGCAGAGATAAGAACTCTTTGCAACAGAAGAGCAGATTAGAGGCTGTGTAAAACATATTTACAGGCATTTTATTCAGCATCAGGACAAAAGGAAAAACATGTCTGCTCCCCTTCGTGTCCAAGCAAACAGCATAAGCATAAGCTATACACAAACGGAAGTTCCCAGCAAGCTGTGCTGGAAAGTAAACAGACATGTGACACACAACAGGCTGTTCCTCTTAAGGTGGAACGGACTATCTTAACACTGACGTTGTATGGCCCTGGCCCCCTCAATCGCAGAGTCAAGGCCATATATCTCCAAAATACTTCCTTTCTCAAGGAAGCCAGACTCTGGATAACCACTAGAACCTCTGGAGTCTCTCGTTTTTCAGAGACTGGGGTGCATACAACAATTTTAAAAAACTAAGTTTCATTCCAGTTATATGCCGGACTGATAAACTGAGGACCGGGGATGCATAGAAAATCTGTATCCACTTTTGAAACAGTTTGGCAAAGTGTTGAATGGACCCGTTCCTTTCTGTCCAAACTGTGTCCTGGAAACCAAGTCTCGTGAGGCACAGCTGAGTATGTTTAGCCTGGGGAAAGAGAAGGCTGAGAGGTGATCTGATGGCTACCTTCAAGGCTGAAGACAGGGCAAGCTTGTTTTCTGCTGTGCCAGAGGGTGGGACCCGAGTCAGTGGCTTCAAATTACAAGGAAAGAGATTCCAACTAAATACTGGGAATAACTTTCTGGTGGTCAGAGCTGTTCTGCAGTGGCCACGCCGGGACATTTTAGAGGAGAGGTGATTTAGAGGAGATATGGAAGGCGTTTGTAGAATTTGTACTGTTAAAACGGAAAGAGGTCAAACCATCGCAAGAGGTGTTGAAATTGTGGGTGGTTGGATAGTAACAATGGAATGGTCTCCGTGGCGAGGTGCACATTTTTATTCTTACTTATTTATGATTATTACTTTGTAAAAATATATAGAAAAAATAAAAAATAGCAGGGGCATTTTAGGACATGCCTAATTGTGGCTACTTTTGTGGTCAGGTTTATAATCTGCTCCCTGTGAAGGACCTCCGAGGTTACATCTACAAGCACCACAACATGCTTGAACCGTACCTTGGTCGCTGCACGGTTAGGGATAATATTGTTGTGGGAGGCATCAGCTACAGATATGAATCTTTTCAGCGGAGTGAAGGTGATGCCTATGACATTCTCAAGGTGAGTGCCAAAGGACCCACTGCATTGGCATGAGACCCTTAATCTCAGGGTCATGGGTTTGAGCCCCATGTGGGCGAGAGAGTCCTTCATTGCAGGAGTTTGGTCTAGGTGGTCCTTGCGGTCCACTCCAACTCTGCAATTCTATGATTCTGTGATTTGTCGGGGAGTGAAATGTCTGCCAGGAAGAGGAGGGCACATTGTAGGGACCCACCGCGTGACAGTGGCAGCTCAGCCACCCAAAATCTAGGGCTGTAAGGAAGCACGGTGTTGCATTCCACCCCGCATACGTCGCACGCAGCAATGTTTCCATTCCCCTGCAGTTCGTTTTCCACCAAAAGCTATTGTCCTCTGCAGAGAGATTATGTAACCTTAAGAAGAGCCTGCTGTCCAGTGTTCTCACATTGCTCAACCAAATGCCTGTGGGAAGCCTGCAAACAGGATCCGAGCGCAAGAGCCCTTTCCCCCTCCTGTGGTTTCCAGCGACTGGTATTCAGAAGCATCACTGCCTCCAACTGGGGAGCCAAACCATCACCATCATGGCTCGTAGCCACTGATAGCCTTTCCCCCTAATTTGTCTGGTCCTCTGAGCCATCCACATTCGTGGCCATCACTCCCTCCAGTGGAAGCGAGTTTCAGTGTTGAACTAGATAAAAGGTAAAGGTAAAGGACCCCTGGATGGTTAAGTCCAGTCAAAGGCGATTATGGGGTTGCGGCGCTCATCTCGCTTTCAGGCCGAGGGAGACGGCGTTTGTCCACAGAAAGCTTTCCAGGTCATGTGGCCAGCAGGACTAAACCCCTTCTGGCACAATGAGATGGAGGCCAGAGCACATGGAAATGCCGTTTTCCTTCCCACCGGACTGGTACCTATCTATCTGCTTACACTGGCGTGCTTTCGAACTGCTAGGTGGGCAGGAGCTGGGACACAGCAACGGGAGCTCACCCCATCGCGGGGATTCAAACCGCCAACCTTCTGATCGGCAAGCCCAAGAGGCTCTGTGGTTTAGACCACAGCGCCACCTGCATCCTTACAGTTGAACTAGGCACCGTGTGAATAACTGCTTTTTGAATCCGCCCTGAATCTTTCAACATTCAGTTTCACTGGATGCCTATGAGTTCTAATGTCATGAGAGTACTGTGTCCAGTTCTGGGCACCACAATTAAAGATGTCAACAAGCTGGAACATGTACAGAGGAGGGCAACCAAGATGATCAAGGGTCTAGAAACAGGTAGGTAGCCATGTTGGTCTAAAGCAGTCGAAATACACACACACACACACACACACACACACACACACACACCAGGTTTACCATACCCATTGAGTCATCTTCCCATCTTCTACTACCCTCCTGAGAAAACCCCCTCCCCACCCTCCCACTATATATAAGGGTCTGGTGACTTCTGTTTCAGTGTATCTGAAGAAGTGTGCATGCACATGAAAGCTTATACCAAGAACAAACTTAGTTGGTCTCTAAGGTGCTACTGGACTATTTTTTTATTTTATTTTTAAAATATATTTCAAGGGTCTGGAAACCAAGCCTTATGAGGAACGGTTGAAGGAGCTGGGCATGTTTAGCCTGGAAAAGAGGCTGTGGAGCCCTTCAAATATTTCAAGGGCTGTCACATGAAAGAGGGAATAGGCTTGTTTTCTCCTGCTCTGGAGCGTAGGGACTGGACCAATGGCTTCAAGTTACAAGAAAGGAGATTCCGACTAATCATTAGGAAGAACTTTCTGACAGTAAGAGTTGTTTGGCAGTGGAACGGACTCCCATGAGAGGTGGTGGACTCTTCTTTCCTTGGAGGTTTTTAAGCAAAGTTTGGGTGGCCACCTGTCCTGGATGCTTTAGCTGAGATTCCTGTGTTGCAGGCGGTTGGATGGCCACTTGATGATCCTTGGGTTCCCTTAGGTAAAGGTAAAGGGGCCCCTGACCATTAGGTCCAGTCATGGACAACTGGGGTTGCATTGCTCATCTCGCTCTTTAGGCCAAGGGAGCCGGCGTTTGTCCGCAGACAGCTTCCAGGTCATGTGGCCAGCATGACTAAGCCGCTTCTGGCGAAACCAGAGCAGCGCACGGAAACACCGTTTACCTTCCTGCTGGAGCGGAACCTATTTATCTACTTGCACTTTGACGTGCTTTCGAACTTCTAGGCTGGCAGGAGCAGGGACCGAGCAACGGGAGCTCACCCCATCGCAGGGATTCAAACCACACACCCTTACAACTCTGCAATTCTTTGATTCTATGAGAGAGGGAGAAAAAATGTTTCTCTATCCCCCTGTATCCTTCCAGACCACCCGGCAGTGGGAGGATGTTCAGCTCCTGAAGAGTTAATCCAGACTAGGTAGAGACTCTCCTGGTCAGGTATTCGGGAACAGAGACACATATGCTGTTTGGGAAGGCATAACGCTCTAGAGAAGGGTTCATACTGGCTCATTTTCTCATTTGGCAGGACTTTGGCTTGAAAGCTTTTACCAGCACCGACGATAAAGAAGCCTAACCTTTGCAGAGAAGATATACCAGTATATGCCAGTAAGAACCTGGTGGCAATGTTGGTGGCAATTGTGGGAGTAGGGGTGGGATTTCCTCCAGTTAGCCTTCGTCCATCTTCATAATGCCCTGAAAATCACAAGATTTATGAGCTCTGCAAATTTAAGAGGAACGATAACAGCTTAGGAAGAGCCAATGGCAAATCTTCTCTAGCATCCTGTTCTCACATTAGCTGAAGGGTTGTTTGTGGGAAACCAGCAAATGTACATCCAGCTACCCTCTATGTCCCTAAGGGCCTTGAGGCAACGACTAAAACTTTTGCTGAGTGCCTAGTTCTACAGCCCTACATTTTTTAAAAAATATTAAGATACTTGGCAGAAGGGTTTTCAGGAAGAGTTTCAATTGCCTCATCCCTTCCGGCATTTGCATGCGGTAAATAGAAAGTTTACAGTGGAACCTCGGTTCCTGAACGAAATCCATTCCGGAAGCCCATTCAGCTTGCGAAATGTTCGAAAACCGAGGCATGGCTTCCCATTGGTTGCAAGGGCTTCTTGCACTCCGCAGAAGTCGTGTCGCACGTTCAAGTTCCGAAAAAACATTTGAAAATGGAAGCATTTACTTCTGGGTTTTCAGCATTCGGGAACCAAAACATACAAGAACAGAGGCGTTTGGGAACCGAGGTTCCAATGTACCAATATTTGCCCAAAGATAGATTCAGAGTGTATTTTGTTCTAATAGGCGCTTATGAATTTGCCACCGTTATCATTATGGTAAAATATCGTGCTATTTAAATGGCATAGATTAATTAGTCACTCAGCAGCAATAGAACATGGTTACAGTGGTACCTCGGGTTACATACGCTTCAGGTTACACACTCCACTACGCCAGAAATAGTGCTTCAGGATAAGAACAGAAATCGGATTCTGGCAGCGTGGCGGCAGCAGGAGGCCCCATTAGCTAAAGTGGTGCTTCAGGTTAAGAACAGTTTCAGGTTAAGTATGGACCTCCGGAACGAATTAAGTACTTAACCCGAGGTACCACTGTATAGGCCTTGGAGGACACATGGTGATTTGCGGAATTCTACCTTTTGTTTTAAAAAGTGAAATGGCTTAAAAGTTAAATGGAACCAAATAGAAATTGGGTGCTTCTATGCAGGTTGGGGGTTAGATTGTAAACACAGACACATACACACAAGACAGCTGTGTATGAAACACAATTTATGACACACACGTACATACACAAAGAGAGAGAGATAGAGAGTACAAAGAAAAACAAAATGAAATTAAATAAATAAATTAGTTGGCATCTGTTTGCCTCAAGAGACAATGTAGGAGTGTGACGTCAAACCATTGGAGAGTTAGAGGACTTGCTGTGGCTGTATGGGAGAGACATGTTTAATTGCAGCTGGAGCAGAGGAAGGTCTCGGTGTTGCTGTTACAGATGCACTGTGGTGTTACTTATCTCTGCTCTCCTCCCAGTGGTCATTTCTCCTCTGGTCACCACTGTGGAAATAAAGTACATAATTTAGGGCAATATCCAACAGTCCCACTCAGAGTGTACCTACTGAAATCAAGAGGGCTTTCTGTTCAATGAGTCCGAATAACAATGGCTATCATCTATGCTCTGTCTTCCTTCAAGGTGCTGACCTACAGGTTCAAACTCTGAGTAGACGGCTAGGAGCTCCAGGCATTCCTGCACAAGAAGCTCCAAGAACAGGAAGACAGCAGGAGACTGTCAGGAGCTACTTTCCCGAGACGTGGCTCTGGAACACGTGGATAGTGAAGTAAGTAGTGGTTTTCAGACTTTGTGGGGTGCGCATATTGCAGATATTAATATTATGCAGTTTGAAGCGAGTGGATGCATAAAAACGGGCTCCTTTGGAAATGAAGCACTGTTTAACGAAAGCTTTGCTTGCGGAACTTTCTTCAAAACAAAACAAAAACATCCAAACAACTCCATGAGACATATGCCAGTCCAAGGCATAGGCTCAGCATCTTACAAAATGTCAAACAATTTCAACAGACCTAGAAACAGAGGTCTGTCCCTACAACCTGCATCCTGCCTGGGGCTGTTTATCTGGAGAGCTTCATCTGCATCCTCACTCTCACAGAACACAGGAACAAAGGACTCCAGCCGTCACCCTTCCATGATGGCGAAGTTGCAATTCAATTCAATGCCTCTCATGTGATCTAAGGTTAAACACTCACATGTTAGCTAGCAGAAAACAACATTCCATTATCAGCTCAGTTAAGGCTCAGAGTCCCTTAGAGTACGGCAGTGGAATTTTCCAGCATTAAACCCTTTCACCATTACACATAAGCATTCCCATTTCGGTGTCAATTAAAACCATTATAATCAATAGGCAGTGGTGGTGCTGGGGAGAACCTGTGGCCCTCCAGGTGTTACTGCCATACAACCTCCATCATACCTGCTCACAGGCCATCCAGCCCGGGGCTGATGGGAGTTGGAGCCCAACAACAACGGGAAGGCCACACAGCCCCCACCCCACAAAATCTCTGCCCCGAGAGGGGGCAATGACAATAAAGATATTATTATTATTATTATTATTATTATTATTATTATTATTATTATTACAAGCCATAACCCTAGCGAGAATTAGGCAAATTAATGAAGGACAAGGCTCTTGATAGCACCTCGAATACTTGGAAGTGATGTGCATTTTACAGGATTTCCCTGGTGATGGGAAATGAAGATACGGCTTGCAGGAGGGAGCTATGAAAATGTTCTTCACCCTGCACGGCCATCTTCAGAAAAATAAAGGCCTGTCACATTGAAGATGGATCAAACATTGCTGGGGCTTTGTCAACATACAGAGGATCGGGAGGCCAGCTGGCAAGCCCCAGCTCAGCCGACTCCTTCCATCGACCTCTGCTCTGACGTAAATCAGCGACCCGGGCTTCAGAACCAGGGCACACTATCAGCAGATAGAACTGCGCACACAGAATAGGCTTGAGGCTTGTGAAGTCATACTACAAACTACAGATTTATTAATCAGAAATCAGGACAAAGAAACATGTCGTCTCTCATGCCGTCTCAGAGAGAACGGGAAAAAGCAAAAGCTATACACAAACGGAAGTTCCCAGCATACTGTGCTGGAATGTAAACAGACATGTGACATGCAACAATTCCACATGTCTGTTCCTTAAGGTGGAGTGGAATTCTCAGCAGGCTTGTACTAGATGACCCTTGGGGTCCCTTCCAACTATGATTCTATGAAACTTGTTTTCTGCTGCTCCAGAAGGCAGGGCCCAAATCAATGGATTCAAGTTAAAGGAGATTCTGACTAAACATTATGGTGGTCAGAGCTGTTTGGCAGTGGAACGGACTCCCTCAGAAAGTGGTGGACTCTCCTTCCCTGGAGGCTTTTAAGCAGAGCTTGGATGGCCACCTGTCAGCGATTTGTTAGCTGGGAATTGTTCAGTGGACTAGATGAGGCTTGGGGTCCTATTGATGGTATCAAACACCGAGTAAATTGGCAAAAATGTACAAAACTAAATCAAATAAATGTTGGAAATGTAAAGAGAAAGAAGGTTATTTTTATCATATGTGTGGTGCCAGTGTGATGTAGTGGTTAAGAATGGTAGACTTGTGATCTGGTGAACCGGGTTCACTTCCCCGCTCCTCCATATGCAGCTGCTGAGTGACCTTGGGCTAGTCTCACTTCTCTGAAGTCTCTCAGCCCCACTCACCTCACAGAGTGTTTGTTGTGGGGGAGGAAGGGAAAGGAGAATGTTAGCCGCCTTGAGACTCCTTCGGGTAGTGATAAAGCGGGATATCAAATCCAAACTCATGTGGTAACCTTACTTACCTTGTGGTAAGGTTAAGGCTTACTGGGAAATGATATACAATGAAATGAAAAGGATGTTTAAAATAATGTTTGTAAAAAAAACACCAGAAGCCTTTCTCTTGGGAATTATAGGGACAGAACTACTTAAATTGTATAGAAATTTATTCATGTATACGACTACAGCAGCAAGAATGTTACTTGCGCCCAAATGGAAAGAAGCAGAAGTCCCAGCAAAGGAAGAATGGATATGAAAATGTATGTGTCAGCGCTGCCTCAGGTCCTAACTCACAGAGGACCAACGCCAGTTGCTCTTTATAAACAAAAGTCTTTATTGTGGTTCATTGTTGGTTTGACATCTGTGGCGCGCAGCGCTACGTCTGAGTCCTTAGACCGGCGAAGCTCCGTCTGACTCCTCCCCTCCCCTGCACCAGTTCAAGACCCGAGCTTTGCTCCACCTCTTCCTCTCCTCCTTCTGCTCCTTTCTCCTCCGGGTCCTCCTGTCCCCTGGGGTTACCTCCTTCCTACTTTCTTCGGAGGCGGATTCTTCTGACTCCTCCCCACCCTTCCGGCGGGCTTTAGGACCTGGCTCCCAATCCGGGTTTTCTGCTGGCCCACGCGCCTCCACATTTGAACTTGGCGCGCGCGCCCAGCCGCCTACTTTCCTCCTAATGGCTACACTACTCCCCTCACTGCTTTCTCCTTCAGGGAGGCTGGCCGGACCTGCTCTTCCCTCCGCCCCTCCACTCTCTGACGGAGGCGTGGTCAGTCCAGCCTCACTCTCTCCTCCTGCAGGAGGAGGCTCTTGTTTTAATCCGTGTGATTCTTTCCCCCCCCCGCTACGCTCTGGTGGGGAAGCTACCCTGATTTCCAGCTGCCGCCTGGAGACTCCCCACTGGCCCCCTTGCCCTGCCTCTGGGGGCCCCCTTCTGGGAATCCTCTGATTCGCTGGAGAGACTCATGGAATCTCTCTGATCACTGGCATACCCTCCTGAGCTCCCCTCAGATTGTTCCCCTTCACTCTCCATCTCCTCCTTCCCCTGTGGCTCAGCCCCTGAGCCCATGACAGTATGGAATATGCAGAAATGGCAAAACTTTCCAGAAGAATAAGAAATCAAGATAACAAACTTTTAATAAAAGAATGGAAATGGTTTATTGAATATTTACAGACAAATTGTAAACAGATAAAAAGACTGGCAGGATTATTGTAATAACCTGCAGTTACATAAGAGTATATATTCAAAGAAGATAAATAAATATGTTAAGTTAATTTGGATATGCAGAAGATATTAAAAACAAACTTAAGGAACCGCAGAAAGAGGGGGAAGGAAGTAAAGTTTTAAAATGTCAAAATAACTGTAAAATCAATGGAATGTGTATATCTGAAAAGATATGTATATGTATATGTATATACATATACATATATATAAAACCCTTGGGACCCCTTCAAACTCTATGATTCTTTGATTCCTGTTCTTCTCTGTCCCTCAGCGGCGAGTCCCAAGGCGAGATTGACATCCCCGTGACCATTCCGGACACCATCACCGAGTGGAAGGCAGGAGCTTTCTGCTTGTCCCCGGATGTGGGCTTTGGCCTGGCCCAGACTGCCTCTCTCAAAGCCTTCCAGCCATTCTTCCTTGATCTGACCTTGCCCTACTCTGTGGTGCGGGGCGAAGCGTTCACCCTGAAGGCCACTGTCTTCACTTACATGCAGCGCTGCGTCAGGGTGAGGAACGCCCTAGCTTGGCTCCCGATTCCCGAAAACTCCTCGCCCTCTTTTCCTTGGCATAGAATTTGGATCGCCTAGGCACGGAATCATATTGCTGCAGGCACCCCAGTCTCTTGAGTGGCGAGAGACTTTTGTTCCCTCCCCGCTAACGCCTTTCTGTTCATGGACAGGTCAGTATCTCGCTGGCTCCCTCTGCTGAGTTTGTGGCTTCCCCAGTGGAGAAGGAGGAGGAATCTTACTGCCTGTGTGCCAACGAAAGGAAAACGGTCTCGTGGACGGTAACTCCCAAATCTCTGGGTAAGCATCAATGCTAGGAACTAGGTAACCACCACGGTCTGAAAGCGAGATGAGCGCCGTAACCAAATACAGTGGTGCCTCACAAGACGAAAATAATCCGTTCCGCGAGTCTCTTCGTCTAGCGGTTTTTTTCGTCTTGCGAAGCAACCCTATTAGCGGCTTAGCGGATTAGCGCTATTAGCGGTTTAGCGGATTAGCGGCTATTTAAGGCTTAGCGGCTTAGCGGCTAAAAAGCTATTAGCGGCTTAGCGGCTTAGAAAAAGGGGGGGAGCGAAAAAAAATCGGAACACTCACAAGACGTTTTCGTCTTGCGAAGCAAGCCCATAGGGAAATTCGTCTTGTGAAGCAGCTCAAAAACGAAAAACCCTTTCGTCTAGCTCATTTTCCGTCTTGCGAGGCATTCGTCTTGCGGGGCACCACTGTACTTGCCCTTCACTGGACTTAACCACCCAGGGGTCCTTTACCTTTTACCTTTACCAAACCCTTAGATCAGGGATATGTATAAATGCAAGGAGTCCTGATTCCTCCTACAGAATTACCACCTTTAGATTGCAGTGAAAGTTTGTCTGTGCGTGTGTGTGTGTGCGTGCATGCGTGCGCGCACTTCCAGCATGTAAATACAATATATATATGTTTCAGATTAAAAATTTACAGTCAGATATCCAACATACATACAACATAGAAACAAGATTCCAAAGAACTCCTGGACTTCATTCCTCCCCTTTGTGGGTCCTATTGTTAGTCCTTTCCTCCTGCATCTTTTATGATAATCCAAATCTTTTACATCTTCATTGTGTCCAAAATTCACCATTAAACTACAAGTGTTACTCCAATCCTACTAACGATTTTAACTGTTTACAACGGTTTTTAAGATAAACTATAAATTTTCCCCATTCCTCATTAAATTTTTGGTCTTCCTGATTTCTGATTCTTTCAGTCATTTTAGCCATTTCAGCATAGTCCATCAACTTGATCAAATACAGTGGTACCTCTACTTACGGACGTGATCCGTTCCGGGGTGCCATTTGCACCGCGAAAAGTCCGTAAGCAGTGCATGTGATGCGGTAGAGTGCGCATGCGCAAAGCGTGCAGATCGCTCCCTGCGCATGTACGAAGTGGTGAACCTGGAAGTAAACACTTCTGGGTTTGCCGCGTTCGTAACCAGAAAAAACGCGACGTGAAGCAAACGCAACTCGAGGTATGACTGTGCTGTATTTTTAGAGTCCGTGGCAAATTTGGCTACTGCCGACATTTTGGGTAGGCATTGATTTCTCTCCCAACTTTAAATAACCTAATAAGAATGGAAAGGATTGCAAGTGAACCATGCTATTAACAAAATAGAATGAGGGCGGCCCTTTGTTCTCTTCTAGGAGAAATAAACTTCACAGCGAGCGCTGAAGCCCTGAACTCTGAACAGCTGTGTGGGAACGAAATAGTGGAGACACTCCACAAAGGGCAGAAGGACACGGTGATCAAATCCCTTTTGGTCAAGGTACGAGTGGCGGCAGAGCATATGTCTGCATTGCCCAGGGTGGGCACGCTCCCGAGGGGGGCATGGCGTGGAGGGTGCCCTCCCAGGCACAGGATCGCCGCTCGGGTTCCCGGAGCAGCATGTGTGCCCTGCAGCTGGGGACGAAGTGAGCCGCTCATGGGTGCAGAGCGAGCCGTCCATGGTGGACATTTGGTGCGCCGCCTGCCCGCGATTCCCAAGCCTCCCCCAAGTTGTCAAAACGAAGGGGGAAGGGGGAAACGCCACCGGCAAAGCGGCGCAACTCCCCCCTTACCCCGACGGCTGAGGGTAGGCTTGGGAATCACAGGCGGGTGGCGCGCCGAATGTCACCCCCCTCAGTGAGGGCACCCGGGGCAGTCTGCCCGCACCGCCCCTCTTCCTATGCCCCTGGGTACGAGGGCTGCTTTAATCTTGATTTGGGGTTGCATAAGTGTGATTTTGTGGGGAGTAAAGCAGACCCTCCAAGTGTCCCTATTTTCCAAGGACAGTCTCGGATTTACAGAAGCCGTCCTGGTTTTTGATTTGATTCCGGATTGTCCTGCTTCTTCCTCCCACCATTGTCACTGGAGGAAGGCTGGAGGGCATGGCAAAGCAACAACGTTTGCAATACGTTGCCCGAATCATTGGGGAATAGAGAGAGAAACGGAACTTCCTCCTTACTGATTCCTTCTCTTTCAGCAATGACTGTATTCTCCTGTGTATAAGACGGTGATTTTGCTAAAAAAAATGTAGTCCAAAATTTGGGGTCGTTTTATACACTTGGCTTGGGCTCTTGAAATAAGGCAACTCAAAAAAGCTCAATAACTTTGGTCAGCTTCCCTCAAAAAAAAGCTCAGAGTTGTTTTGTTTGATGTTTAAAATATTGATTTCTTAATAGTAAGGCAAACTTTTTCCTTTCAGGGTCTGTTTCCTGCTTATTTTCCAAGTTTCAGTCAATGTGAGCTGGCATGTGCCAGTGTGTTAACTTATTGGCTCTATCTTGGCTGCATGTAAAATTCATATACAGGGACCTTAGGGTTTGTAATAACCAAATAACATTTAGAATGTTTGGTGAATACACCTTAAGTTTTCTTTATCCTTCCAACCAGACTACAGTGGTACCTCGGGATGCGAATGGGATCAGTTCCAGAGCCCCGTTCTCATCCTGAATAGAACATAAGACGCGACTGCACGTGCGCGGGTCACGTTTTCCTGCTTCTGCGCATGCGCGCGACGTCATTTTGAGCATCTGCGCATGCGCGAGCAGTGAAACCCGGAAGTAACGCGCTTGTTTACTTCTGGGTTGCCGCGGATCACAACCCAAAAGAGCTCAACTTGAAGCACATTCAACCCGAGGTATGACTGTATTTCTTTCTGCACACTGCTAGAATGCAGAATTTATTTCATCCTCCCCTCTCCTTTTCTTTTCTTTCCTCTCCTCTCATGAAGCCGGAAGGCGTTGAGAGGGACGTGGTCTTCAACAACCTGCTATGTGCAGTTGGTAAGTGACGGCTAATGGAGGAATCCCTTCCCATGTCTCTGCATGAATCTCACATAACTGGAAAGGGCAGAACTGCCCCATACAGAAACATCATCATCAACATCATCATCATCATCATCAGTTGCTTTTCTCTTATTTATTTATTTATTTATTTATTTATTTATTTATACTTTTCAGTTTATACATTTCACTGATTTTACAATCATTTTGACATTTCAAAACTCAACTTCCTTCCCCCTCTTTCAGCAGTTCCTTAAATTAGTTTTTAATAACTTCTGCATGTCCAAATTCACTTAATTTACTCATTTATTCATCTTCTTTTAATATATACTCTTGTAAAACTGCAGGTTATTACAATAATCCTGGCAATGCTTTTATCTGTTTATAATTTATCTGTAAATATTCAATAAACCATTTCCATTCATTGGTTAAAAAAAAAGTTAACAAATTAGTTGCTTTTCTCACAGAGTGAAGCAAAGTGACAATTATTATTACTATTATTATTATTTATAGTAGTAATTACACATCCTTTGTTAGCTATTTTTCTGAGTCATGTAGAGTGATTCAGTGCTTTCACCCTCAAAGCCCTAGGGATGAAGTAGACTCCACACACAAGGCTTTGAAGACGACTCTTTGCTTGCAGGATGGCAACTATTACAAGCAATAATATTTATGCATATCAAGTCAAATACAATGCATCCCTCTCCCTTGAGCCCAAGAGAGGGTCTTCTAGTTTCTTGCTTCCAAAACTCCTTTGAAACCGGCCATAAATTATCAGCCCATCGCTCCTCAAACCTGGAAGGGAACGAAGAGTAGGCTTGCAAATGTTCCCGCTAACTGGAAGAGAGGCTGTAATATCAGGCAACAGGAATGATCAAAACTCCCTCTGTTCTGCTTCCAGAGAAGCCGAAGTCATCACAACCTGTTTCTTTAAAGCTACCAGGCAACGTGGTGGAGGGCTCAGCCAGGGCCTCCTTCTGTGTGCTGGGTAAGTCATGAAAGCTTTCCGGGACTCGGGCTTCACGGAGACCAGGTGTAAATGCTCTATATTCCACACCATCTGGCCCAGTCTTCACCCTTCCACATGTGAATAGCTCTCTCCAGTTCCAATGTCCTGGGCTGAGTGCAGTTGCTTATGAAGTCAAGACAGCACCGACCACATACCGTATTTTTTGCTCTATAAGACTCACTTTTTCCCTCCTAAAAAGTAAGGGGAAATGTGTGTGCGTCTTATGGAGCGAATGCAGGCTGCGCAGCTATCACAGAAGCCAGAACAGCAAGAGGGATTGCTGCTTTCACTGCGCAGCGATCCCTCTAGCTGTTCCGGCTTCTGAGATTCAGAATAGTTTTTTTTCTTGTTTTCCTCCTCCAAAAACTAGGTGCGTCTTGTGGTCTGGTGCGTTTTATGTCAGTGTTAGGTTTCTGTTATGCCACTGTGTAGTTCTTGGAGTCACAAGACTCTGTTGACATTCCAGACTGTCTCACGGGAGACGGATGTTGAAGTTACTGGTTTCCTGTTTCTTTGTTCCTGTTGTTTTCTGTCTCTCACAGAGAGCAGATGCATATTCTTTTCTGTCCTGCGTAGTCAGAAATAAAGCAGCAATGTAGCACATATTTCATGTCTCCATCTGCTGCTGTCTGGGTACTCTGCTTAAAGGGGAGCATGCCTGAAGTCTCATTCAAAGGCTTAGGTCGTTAATCACCGTCAGAGGAGAGCCGAAGGAGTAGCCTTTACAGCTGGGTCGTACAGAGGCTCCGACAGTCAGCAGGCTTGGAGGAGACCCAAGATTTGCAGAAGTAGCAAACAAAGTTGTGGAAGGAGAGCTAAGGGCTAGAGCTGGGGTGGAATGGAACAGCTCAATGAGGACTGAGCATGCACTATGGGCATGGGATGCTAGCAAACTTTTGGGAAGGGAAATCAAGTTTCAGGGGTAATGAAATGGAGTATGCTGGAAAAGAATGTATCTTTCTGGAACTCAATGCTACATGCTGTAAATATTTGCGCTTATTTTCTTCTTGTCTTTCCCCTTATTCTAGCACATTCTTTCTTGGCCTGGCCTCTCCTTGCCTCCTTAATTATGCCTCCCTCTGAGCCCAGTCATTTCTCATGTAATCTGGCACTGATAATATGTGGGAATTAGACTCTAGTTCCCATTTACAGAACTATGTGAAGGGAGGAGACCGGGTTGTTTAACCCTTTAACTAGTTCCCTTTTCCGTTCTATAAAAATTACGCAAAACACACTCTCTTTTTAAAGTTTAAATAACAAATAGCTTTTAAATCAGTGTCACAGTTGTACCTCGGCTCCCGAATGCCTTGGGAATCAACATTCTGCTGCCAAATGATCGAAAAGCGGAAGTTTACCGTATTTTTTGCTCTATAACAACACCAGACCATAACAGGCACGTAGTTTTAGAGGAAGGGAAAACAAGAAAAAAATGATTCTAAACAAAATAGTGGATATATTTGATTTTTGTGGTTCATGGCTGTGGCCACAGACATGTGATCTTTGGACAGTGAGTTGTGGGTAGCCCAATGCCAAAAGTCCTGGAGGATCCTATGTGGGATCCATGTTTGTTGTACGATGAGGAGGAAGGAAGGGGAACCCATGGATCCTTGCTCACGACTGCAGCCAGATCCCCCCCTCCACCCGCAGCATTCGCTCCATAACACGCACAGACATTGTCCCCTTACTTTCTAGAGGAAAAAAGTGATGATTTATGTGCAAAAAATACGGTAAGTGGTCGGTTTTCAAATGTTCTTTTGGAGCGAATGTTCCAATGGGGCGTCTGCGGTATCAGATATGACTGCAAGCTAAACAGAAGCCGCGCTTTGGAAGTCAAACATTTGGGAAGTCAAAGGGACTTCCGGGTGGGATGTCTGTTCGACTTCTGAGGTACGGCTGTACTTGCACTTGTTAGATTAAACATACAAGGCAGGCAGGTGTTATGTTGCTAATACACATTGCATAGATTTCTATCTTATTAGCACTTAATATTTATCTGCTTCCATCTGGCCATTCTCTCCTCCACAGCATTTTCATTACGTACATTTCCACCAGTTCATTTCCCCCTCCCACTCCCTGATCTGTGATTCCCTGATCTGTGTTTATGGAAGTTTTTAATATTTAATGCTGTATTGTTTTTAACACTCAATTGGGAGCCTCCCAGAGTGGTTGGGGAAAAGCCAGCCAGATGGGCGGGGTATAAACAAATTATTATTATTATTATTATTATTATTATTATTATTATTATTATTCCTTATGGGAAATTTGCATTGCTTTGATGTTTTCTTTTGTCATGCGTTTCACTTGGTGGCTCTGCACCATCCCCTCATATTCCAACCAATCTTTTCCCTCCCCACATCCCAGGGGACATCCTCGGATCAGCTATAGAGAACCTCCACCAGCTTCTTCAGATGCCCTATGGCTGTGCGGAGCAGAACATGGCTCTCTTTGCCCCCAACATCTACATCCTGGAGTACCTGAACAAGACTGAGCAGCTGACTGAGGCGGTGAAGTCCAAGGCCATCGGATACTTAGTGGCTGGTGAGAAAAACTTGTGAGGAGAGGATGTACGGGGAGAATTCTACATTTGTTGTTTCCTGCAGGGCGGGAGGAACAATGTGGATTCACTCAGAACATATTTATAAGCATGGCTTTACTGGACTGAAATCAATACATTAATTAACTACCACACTAGTTGTTGGATTGCTAGTAGGGACCAATTTTAATCACCGGGGCTTTGAGTTCAGGACACACTTTGAAACTATTGAGAAACTGAGGGTGGCGTGTCTTCTCTTGATGCCCACATAGCCTCTGAGCATCCATCACCGCCCCCTTGGTTGTGTGGCTGAGTAACCTTTCCTCCCTTGAAAAGTAAAGGTAAAGGTAAAGGTACCCCTGACCGTTAGGTCCAGTCACAGACGACTCCGGAGTTGCGGCGCTCATCTCGCTTTATTGGCCGAGGGAGCCGGCGTACAGCTTCCGGGTCGTGTGGCCAGCATGACTAAGCTGCTTCTGGCGAACCAGAGCAGCGCACGGAAATGCCGTTTACCTTCCCGCTTGACGTGCTTTCAAACTGCTAGGTTGGCAGGAGCAGGGACCGAGCAACGGGAGCTCACCCCGTCGCGGGGATTCGAACCACCAACCTTCTGATCAGCAAGTCCTAGGCTCTGTGGTTTAACCCACAGCGCCACCCGCGTCCCTCCCCCTGAAAAGTACATAGATCCAAAGGAGGAAGTTGGAAGAGTGGTGCTCTTTCTCACTTCCTCCTTCAACTCTATGTGCTTTACAAGGCTCGGATTAATTCTGCTGGTTCTACTCAGATCCCTTGAATGAACTAGGTGTGTGTTTTTGTACCCACTTTCTTTCTGCCTCTCTGTGGGGTGAGTGGATAGCAGCATTTATCAATGGGGTTATGAGTTTGTTTTGTTCTTGTTTTTATCATGTATTTTGTGTCTTTATTTTGTATGTTTTTTTACTGTGAACTGCCCTGGGATCTTTGGGTGAAGGGTGGTATACAGATTTAATTTTTTTAAAAAAAATGGATAAAAAATAAATGTTAAATGATATGCTATCTTAGTACTTCCTTTCCCCAAAATGGCATATCTGACGAGTTTGGGGTAGCATTTAGGAAAACACTGAATGTAGCATTGCCATAAGGAGCACACTCCTCTCCTATTATTGCAGAAGTACAGTGGTGCCTCGCAAGACGAAAAGAATCCGTTCCGCGAGTCTCTTCGTCTTGCGGTTTTTTCGTCTTGCGAAGCAAGCCTATTAGCGGCTTAGCGGGTTAGCGCTATTAGCGGCTTAGCGGGCTTAGCGCTATTAGCGGCTTAGCGGGCTTAGCGGATCAGCTGATAAGCGGTTTAGCGGCTTAGCAGATCAGCTGATAAGCTGCTTAGCGGCTTAGCGGATCAGCTGTTAAGCAGCTTAGCGGATCAGCTGATAAGTGGCTTAGCGATCAGCTGTTAAGCGGCTTAGCGGATCAGCTGATAAGCGGCTTAGCGATCAGCTGTTAAGCGGCTTATTGGATCAGCTGATAAGCGGCTTAGCGGCTTGGGGAAAGGGGGGGAGGGAAAAAACCCCGCAGGAACTCGCAAGACATTTTCGTCTTGCGAAGCAAGCCCATAGGAAATTCGTTTTGCGAAGCACCTCCAAAATGGAAAACTCTTTCGTCTAGCGGGTTTTCCGTCTTGCGAGGCATTCGTCTTGCGGGGCACCACTGTAGACATAATTCCTTAAGAATGGATTTCCTTAAGAATGGAGGAATTATTCTCCATTCTTAAGGAAATCAGCCCTGAGTACTCACTGGAAGGACAGATCCTGAAGCTGAGGTACCAAGACTTTGGCCACCTCATGAGAAGAGAAGACTCCCTGGAAAAGACCCTGATGTTGGGAAAGATGGAGGGCACAAGGAGAAGGGGACGACAGAGGACGAGATGGTAGGACAGTGTTCTCGAAGTTACCAGCATGAGTTTGACCAAACTGCAGGAGGCAGTGGAAGACAGGAGTGCCTGGCGTACTCTGGTCCAAGAGGTCACGAAGAGTCGGACACGACTAAACAACAACAACAGACATAATTCACAAAATGATAGGTGCAAAATAGAAAAGTAGTCCTTGTTTATCAGGTTTCAGAATTGTAAGTCTCAAGAAAATATTCAACCTTGTTCTTTTTTGTTGCATTACTGCTTCTTTCCATAGAAGATGCCTCTGTTGAGTTTTGGGTCAGTTGCAAATTTTATCAAGAAGATTAAAAAAGGGCAAAAAAAACCCACCCCGATTTTCCTTCCATTTCAGGTTACCAGAGACAACTGAACTACAAGCACTCTGATGGCTCCTATAGCACCTTTGGACAATATAACCGGAGCCCAGGGAACACCTGGTGAGATTGACAGAGGCTGCCTCATTTATGCCAGGCATGTTGAGCAGGGGGAGGTTACCTGGTTGAATTGTCTTGAAAGTCCAAATACACTATGTCAGCTGGCTCACCCTTATCTATATGCTTGTTGACACTCTCATAGGGCTCTATAGGTTTGTGGGACAGGACTTGTCCTTGCAGAAGCCATGCTGGTTCTACTTCAGCAAGGCTTGTTCTTCTATATGCTTGGTAATTTCATCCTTGACAATTCTTTCCTGGGACAGATGTTAAGCTAACCAGCCTGTAATTTCCACAATCCCTACCCCAGGATATATTCTATTTTAATACAATTCTGTATTCCTTAGCTTAAGCTGTCGATTTTTTGTCTCATACGTGAAAATGCTTTCCTGGTGTATTCATTCTGAGGTCCTATCAAAGGGCACATTTCTGGGCTTCTACCTTTCAAATTTCCCCAAATGCATTGGCACTGGTGCCTGACTCTGCTGTGCTCGGTGGCTTTCTTGCAGGCTGACGGCATTTACACTCAAGTCCTTTTCCCGAGCCAGACCCTACATCTTTGTGGAAGAAAAACACATCAAGGATGCTCAGGCGTATCTGGCTGCTAGGCAGAGAGAGAATGGCTGCTTCAGAAGCATTGGGATCCTGTGGAACAACGCTCTGAAGGTACAGAGAGAGGGAGAGAATGCAGTCAGAACCAGATGCTGGGGCAACCTCAGAAACAAAAATTCACCAGTGTGGTTTGTGTTGGCCTTTTGGGCTGAATTAAGTTGGAAATTGTCATGGTGTGATTATCTTACGCTGTTCTCTTGAGCTCTTTCTGAGGCCTCTCGACTGAGGAAGTTGTAGTGTGGAAGATACCATGAGAAGAGAAGATAGGTGGGAACATAGATCCCATCTCTGGGGTGCCATAATAATAATAATAATAATACAATAATAATATATTATTTATACCCTGCCCATCTGGTTGGGTTTCCCCAGCCGCTCTGGGCGGCTCCCAACAGAATACAACAAAACATCAAGCATTAAAAACTTCCCTAAGCAGGGCTGCCTTCAGATGTCTTCTAAAAGTCGCATAGTTCTTTATCTCCTTGACATCTGATGGGAGGGCGTTCCACAGGGTGGGTGCCACTACTGAGAAGGCCCTTTGCCTGGTTCCCTGTAACCAAATTTCCTTCAGTGAGGGAACTGCCAGAAGGCCCTCGGCGCTGGACTTCAGTGTCCGGGCTGGACGATGGGGTGGAGATTCTCCTTCAGGTATACTGGGCCAGGGCCATTTAGGGCTTTAAAGATAGCCCCACGCAGAGCAAATTACAATTTGGGTGCCCGGCCGGGTGACCCAATGCATTGCACGTTTGACGAGGCCCAATGGGGTTCATCACAGCTGTGGGAGGACCAAATGGGGCCCATCGCACCCTCCGGAAGGCCCGGCAATGTGTGACATCATACATGTGCGACAGGCACCCCCAATGTGGGGCGGAACCTGGTGCACCTGGGCGGGAAGCAGTGCAGAACTGGAGTGGGGAGTAGGAATGGGACCATTTGCATGGAAACCATCCATGAGAGGAGACCAATGTGGACCGGAGCTCTAAGTATGGTGGACAGCCAGAAGAAGTGCATCCTAGTATCAGGTGGGTTTTGGAGAAGGTGGATCTTGGGAGGAGCTCTTGGGAGACGGAGAAGGACCTTCACACACCCCATGGAGCTGAGGCCTTTTCCGCTTTCCTTCCTACAGGGTGGGGTGGATGACGAGATCAGTCTCTCTGCCTACATCACTGCTGCTTTGCTGGAGAGCCATCTGCCTCTCGATGTAAGTATCTGTCTTCTCCTTCCCGAAGCCCATTGTGGAACAAACAGTCATGCAGGGCAGGCAGGATTGTCCCCCACAATCGCAGCTGAATGTCTCCCGGCAAATTCCGAACCAACAAACAAGTGGGGTGCATGTTTCCTTCTCAAGCAAAACAACCAGCCTTCTTTCTTGTGCAGAGGGAGGAGAACCCATGACCCTCCAGATCTTGTCGGACTACAACTTCCATCTGCCCCAGCCAACATGGCTAATGCTCAGGGATGATGGGCTCTTTAGTCAACCACAGATGTTCTCTAACTCAAGTCTAGCAAGTGGCCTTCATGCGTTCTGTGGCGGGAATTTGTTTCACTATCCTGGCAGAGCTGAGAATTATCCTGGTTTGCTTAAGATGGGTTTTCTTCATTCCAGTGGGGGAGATGCAGGAAAACAAAACAAAACAAAAGAACAGCTTTAATAATAATAATAATAATAATAATAATAATAATAATAATAATAATAATTTTATTTATACCCCACCCTCCCCAGCCAAGACCAGGATCAGGGTGGCTAACACCCGATATAAAAACAAATTGATTGAAATACAACATTAAAGCATTAAAATACAGCCTCCTTTCAATGGAAACTCAAATCAAAAACTTTTTTGGGGATGAAAAATCAAGTCTTCACCAAGGCTAACTTTCCAGACTGGTCCTACGTGGGCCAGAAAAAAGCCAGGGAAGTCCCCAAATAGGAGTTCCATCACAGAAGGAGAAAGGAAAAAGGAAAGAGGGGAAGGGGATCAAGTTGATTCCAAGCCAAAGGCCAGGCAGAACAGCTCTGTCTTACAGGCCCTGTGGAAAGAAATCAGATCCTGCAGGGCCCTGGTCTCATGAGGCAGAGCGTTCCACCAGGCTGGAGCCAGTGCTGAAAAGGCCCTGGCTCTGGTTGAGGCTAATCTGACTTTCTTAGGGCCTAGGACCTCTAGGGTGTTGCTATTTATGGACCTTAAGGTCATACGGGACATACGGGAGAGGCGGTCCCATAGGTACGAGGGTCCTAGGCCATGAAGGGCTTTAAAGGTCAAAAGCAGCACCTTAAATCTGACCCTGTACTCCACCAGGAGCGAGTGCAGCTGGAAAAGCATAGAAAAGGTAGAGAAATTTAATAAATGAATAAAAATGAAAGGGGTTTTCCAGAGGCACCTGGTTGTGAGAACAGGGTGCCAGACTAGATGGGTCCTTTGTGTGATCTAAGGCGCTCCTCTGATGTTCTTATGTCTTTGCTCTGCCCAGCTTCCTGCAGCGGGTGGGCCTGACTCTGCTATTCCAGCCACCACCTACGGGTTGCCCCCAGGCCTTCTGAAACAGCTACGATGGCTTGGGCTAAGCCTCTCT